AAGTCTCTTTTTACACAATACTCATTAGAATATACTTTATTTAATTTTTTTGTTGAAAAAACTTCCGCCCCCTCCCCGCCTCCCATTTCCCTCCCCCTCCCCCAGTCTTATTTCCCTCTCCCCACTCCTCTCCCCCTCCCCTCCTCCATTCCCCCTCCCTCTCTGAAGAGCAGTCGGGATTCCCTGCCCTGTGGGAAGTCCAAGGTCATCCCTGCTCCATCCAGGTCCAGGAAGACATGCAAATGGATGGAAATAGAATATACTTTAATTCAAAATAGCTAGTCAATAATGTGCATCTATGTATATATACATATAAATGTACATATACAACAAGAAAGTAATATTCTCAATGACTACTTGCCCGTTTAAACCAGATAACAGACATCAATATATGTGAGTGTATGCTATTTAACTATATAGTGTATCTGTGTAGTTTTATATATTCAGTGCTTTCTGAAAGCATACCATTAAAAACAGATAACAGATATCAATATATGTGAGTGTATACTGTTTAACTATATAGTATATCTGTGTAGTTTTATATACTCAGTACTTTCTAAAAGCATACCATTAAAACAGTAAAGCATGGACTGAAGAGAATGCTCAGTAGTTACGAGTATTTGCTCTTCTTACAGAGGACCCATGTTCAGTTCTTATCACCCACATGGAGGTTCACACAACAGCCTGTAACTCTGAAGGATCCAAAGCCCTTTTGATCACCACAGGAACCGGCATGGATGGATCTGATACACTTGCATACATTCAGATAAAACATTCATATGCATAAGATAAAAAGAAATCTTTTAAAAATAGTGAAAAACAAAAGAAATCAAATAAACTGATTAGTATAATTATTTGCATCTTTCTCAGTTTCTTAACATGTCTAAGATACAGCTGAGAAAAAAGGTTTAAAATTAAAATAAGTCAGTCTTGTAAAGTGTTTTAACCATTGCTATGGAAAGAATATTTTATCAAATTTTTATTTTTCACTGAGCAAACACTGATTCCTAGTACAAAGAGGAACTGGGAGCTCAGAAAAACTTTAGTGGTATTTCAATCTGTTCAATTCCTATAGACTTCTATCTTACCATGCAAAAATGTGCACGTCAAAGAATGTATACCAAAGAAAATGAGGTTACCTAAAAGTAATCATAAGCTACTGTTTTCTGCTTCAGTACAAGCTTAAATTTTCAAGAGGAATAGACGTGTTTCTTCCAAGTCAGTCAACAGGGAATGTGAAAAAACCCCACAAGGGGTCAAAATAAAATATCATATTCTTTAACCTCCTTTGCTTTGAGAAGAGAAACAGAAAAATACTTTCCAAGAATTAACACCCAGGATACCTCATTATCAGAAATAAAAAGGCAAATAAGACAAAAAGTAAGGAAAAACAACCCCACTGCCTGCAAATAGACAAAAAAGGACAAGAGAAAGATCTTGGACACAAAACTACACAGAAGTATGCCATATGAGGAAAAGAAATGAAACAATTAGAAAATAGCAATGATAGCTTTGGGGGAAAAAAGCTGATCTTGTGAAAAAAATAGTTGTCACTGATGTCTGATTAACACTTGGGCTCCATGTGTCCATCTGTATCACTGTGTCTTGCATGTGCCGGCAGTCATCTTATGACAGTAGCCTTGGAGATGTGCTTCTCAGGCATGTGTTTGAAAGTGAGGTTCCAAATTAAGATACTGGTGCTCCTAGTTTGCCAACAACCACAGGGAGCAATGCTGGTACCAACTGTCTCTCAGACTCTGGACCATCTTCCCAGCTTTTCTTCTGTAACAACAAGATCTAGTGTCTGAAAATTCCTACACTGCCTTGACAACTGATTTCCATGTAGGTCTCTCTTAGGATCCTCATTGTTATCTATGTTGGGATTGTGAATTGTAAGCTGATTTTCTCTGCTTTATGTCTAAAAGCTACTTAGGAGTGAGTACACATGATATTTGTCTTTCTAGGTCTAGGTTACCACACTCAATATGATGTTTTCTAGACCTATTAATTTGCCTGCAAATTTCAAGATCTCATTTTTTTCTGCTGTGTAGTACTCATTGTGTGAATGTATCACATGAATGTGGGAAGAACTTTGAGGAAGGGAGATCAACAGAGATGAGAAGATTAGAGAAGGGAGCTTATAATAACCACAATGCATGTTACACATACATGAAATTGTCGAAGAACCTAATTTTTCATTAAAAAATTTCCCCTCTGCAGTCCTTCCAGATCATTCCCACCCACTCACCCCTTTCTTCCTCTCACTTCAAAAATCAAACAATAATCAAGCCCAATAAGCAGAAACACATACACACAGTCCTACAGAAACACAGAGTCAGAAACCATAATACAAACCAAAGACCAGTAAGACAAAATGTCCAGAGTGATATGAGACAAAGTCTACAAAAGAACCATTGAGTTCATTTTTGGCCATTTGCTACTGGGCAGGAGTCCTATCCTTATGAGTGGCTAATATGAGACTCCGGTGAGGAATGTTAATTTTTCCTCTGCAAGCAGGTGTCTTAGGTTTACTACTGCTATGATTGAAACACAATGACCAAAAAGCAAGTTGGGGAGGAAAGGCTTTATTGGCTCACACTTCGACATGGCTGTTCATCATGGAAAGAAGTCTGGACAGGAACTAAAACAAGGCAGGAACCTGGAGGCAGAAGCTGATTAGACACCATGCAGGGGAGGGGTGGTCCTGCTAACTGGTCTGCTTTCTTATAGAACCCAGGATCACAAGCACAGAGATGGCGTCACCCACAATAGGTGAGTCTTCACTCAACAGTAACTAAGAAAGTGCCTTACAAACTTTCATACAACACTCCATCTTATGGGGGCATTTTCTTAATTAAGGCTCCTTCCTCCTAAATGACTCCAGCATATGTAAGTTGACATATCTAGGAGGGTGGGTGTCAATTGCAGATAGCTTCTTGGTCAAGAATACAATCTGTCTACTTCCCCCTCTCATTGCTGGCACCATCTGGTTTGTACCTGTGCAGGCACTGTGTATGCTGCGTGTGATGGTTTAAAAGGAAATAGACCCCAAAGGGAGTGGCACTATTAGGAGTTGTGGCTTTGTTGGAGCAGGTTCAGCCTCACTGGAGGGAATGTGCCACTGTGGAGAATGGCTTGGAGGTCTCATATATGTCCAGCATCTTGTCTCCCAAAGAGAACAAAGTTTGAGATTAGCCTGGGATACCATGTGACCATGCCCTCCATCCTACCCAAACTGCTAAAAATCATGATTTTCAGAGCTCTGAATAAAAGATATATTACATTAACTCAATAATGTACATTTTAGGCATTCAGTGAATCAGTAACCTAAAATGTAAAACTCTGCAATGAGTTATTTAAACCACAGTCACACCAAATTATACCCAAGTTTTCCTATTTCTAGTTAAATAAAAACTTTGCCATCAGGTAGATAAAAAAAGTATAAATTTATAAAAAGTATAAATTATATAGTCCAATATAAAAATTTCTAGTTTTGCCACCAATCACAGAGCCTGTGCACTGGTCTGCAGGAGGCCCTCTGTATACATGCTGTGGTTGTTTAGCTTGGAGTTTTTGTGGGACTCCTGAAAGTGGGAATGGGGGTGTCTCCAATTCTTTTTGCCTGTTCTCAGGACCTTTTTCCTGCTACTGGATTACCTCATTCAGCCTATATGAGGGTATGCGCCTAGTCTTATTGTCATGTTGTGGTCAGCTATCACTGGAAGTCCTCTTTTCTAAAGGGAAATGGAGGAGCAGTGAATCTGGGGAAGAAGGGAGGCGGAAGGAAAGGGAGGAGAGGAAGGGGAAACTGCAATCCGATATACTGTATGAGAGTAGAGTGAAAAAATTCAAGTTTCCTTAAAATACACAACTATATGTAATTAAAAAAAACTAAAAAAGAAAAAAAAATCATTCTTCTGAAGAAATACTTTTGAAGAAATACTTTTGGGTAAAGAAGAAACTGACAACATAATCTAAATGCCAACAGGTGGCTGTATGTTTGTGTGAATGTGTACGTGTGTGAGTGTTTACTTGTAAGTAGATACAAATTTTAATAATTTCACCAAGCACCGTTTTTATTAAGAAATTTTACTGTTTAAAAACTAAACACACACGCACACACACATAAATCAAGATTTACATCCTTTTTTTTTTTTTTTTTTTTTTTTTTTTTTTTTTTTTGGTTTTTCGAGACAGGGTTTCTCTGTGGTTTTGGAGCCTGTCCTGGAACTAGCTCTTGTAGACCAGGCTGGTCTCGAACTCACAGAGATCCGCCTGCCTCTGCCTCCCGAGTGCTGGGATTAAAGGCGTGCGCCACCACCGCCCGGCAAGATTTACATCCTTTAAAGATGTATTTTTAATCCCCAGACTGTCACAAGTAGACTGACTACCATCAAGCTTTTTATGCCTGTGAGATGTATCCCTACAATGACACACAAAAGAATATGTAATATTTGTAATAACATTAACTATGAAAGAAACATGCCGAACGTGAGAAAAGAAAGCCCAGTCAGACCAGTGAGGAAAGGGGTCTACATCACCATCAGGTTACAAGGGGGACTTGTGAAAACATTTTTATGAGTCTATGGATCACCACTGTAAGCATTTTATACACAATTTCACTTTCAGACTCCATAGCAGCCACTCGTAGTCATGAGGGCAGTATTTTTGTACTCATCATTCAACATAGGAAGACCTTTTTGGCCATCAAATGGAAGAGAAAATTCAGAAGTAGAGAAGCAGAAACTAAGGACAATGGTAATTAAGGGTTGTGCATGTATGGGAAGAGGCACTGGGGCTAATAACACACTTGAATCATAGCTGACCTTAACTTCAAGTGAGAACAGAGGGTAGACAGCGAAAGAAGAAACGTGGCTGCTTCTTCACTAACAGTTTCACAAGTCTCAACTGTGTATGCATGGTGGATAAATATCTTATTTATATAAATATAACTCTTACAAGATGTAGGATAATTTTAAAAACATTAACAACTGTTTTTATTAAGACTATTTTATTTTTAAAATTTTCAAAATATAAAAATAATAAACATGGATATTTAATAAACAAAACATAATTCAACTATAAATAATAGAAGTGTTGACAACCCACAGAAACACAGTCACTATAAACATTCTGTGCATACAAGAGTAATTTTCAAGTTCAAGTTTTACCTTTTCAGTTCAAGTTTTATCATCACTTTTAAAAATAGACAAGGAAGCTGCTACAGCTTAACCAATTACTTTCGCTCCACTCAAAGAGCAGGGAATTTCCCCCATGCCAACACGCATTCATGAAATGGGATAACTATGGGCACAGGTACTAACCACTGGAACAACCCAGTCTTCAGACAAGAAAAAGACTCCTTTGGTGTTTTCAGATTCAACAACAGTCCATAGAAACTGAATTAAAACAAACCACTTATTAAAGGCAGTCTTGTGCCAGACAGCATGTTCAGAAGAAGTATGGTCAGAGTTGGGATTCTGAGAATCAGAAGTAAACATGTCGGAGTGCTCTGCTGATACTTCACTGTGTCTCAGGAACACTCAACTAAGGTGCTAGAATAAAGTCTTGGGGGCAAAACGGAAAATGCACATCAAGGGAAAACTTTTACAATGTAGTAACTCATCACATACTCTGTAAGTGTCTGTAGGAAACACGCTGCCTTCCGCTGAGCAAAGGACAGACGAGAGTTTAAAGCAGAGTATAATGACATAATTATTTTATGACTAGAAAAGTTTTCCATTTCAAATGAGGGGAAAGCCATGCTTGAATATATCACCTTAAAATTCTAATCAAATTAATAGCCTTCGTCTTATCAAAATAAACTATTTTCTTTTGGGAGAAGCTGGGCAAAAATAAGGGTACAGTCATTCTGCATCATTTTCTTAAATTATTAGGTGTTCTCTAATGGGGCTGGACTCTTACCCGACTTAACACATACCATTTTATAGTTCTGCAGCTAGCGGGATTATTGTAAGCGATAATAGAGTAAAGCCTAGCAAAGACTAGACAACAGATTCAATGACACGGAAAGGTTTTATAGCACCAATGACTGTTTCCTAAGACACTTGAGGGGACTGTATCACTTTAAAGTATTATCTTGTAAACAAGACCAAAAATATTGAATTGATCTGTATTTTGAGCATAAATATTTATAAATTCTATTAAAAAAACAAATATAGCATGACTAGAGCGACAATAGTGTAAAATCTAAGTATATTGAAAAATATAAAGATATATAAAAGGCTTCCATAATGCAGTCATGCAGAGGTAAACTGCTCCATTCAACTACACACAAAAAAACGATTCTATACAGTTATGTACACATCACTCCATGACGAGTTCATTAAAAAAAAAATGTTAAAAGTGAATCTCTAGTAACCAATGTTTAAGGATTTAAGTATAACTGACCAACTGACTCTCACAAGAATTTTCAAAAAAAAGAAAAAAAAAATCACTGATCTTAAGGAGATGTCAACTTGACTTTTCATTCCCAAGGGCACATTCCACTTTGTTTTGCTTTTTGATTCAATAGCAAAAAGAAAAAGTAATAGCAAAATAAATTTAAGGTGACAGTATGTAGCACTCACCATGAAACCATCAAGAGTTCCTGGCAGGTATAGTCTGTTCGGACCATGTTCTTTGGCTCTAACTTAAGCAGCCACAATACTACCACTATAAAGACTTCTTTGAAAATAAAAAATGTCAATTATTCTGGTATGAATTCCTCATGGCTATCTAATAATTTGTGAAAAAGAGTAACAAAAAAAAGTGTGGGGGGGGAGGGGTAACAAAACAAAATGCCTTGTAGGCTATTATGTACTAATTACCTAAAATACATGCTTTACCTTTAACCATGCATGTATAATCAATGTGGATCAAGACAGACAATTTATAATATGACTAATGAGGTTGTTACATTTTATTATTCATGAAGACAATCACAATACATACTCAAGAGGGAAAAAGTGTTTGTAGGATATCAGCTTTGTATAATAAAGTATGACTGAATAGAACTTAAAAAAATCAGAATCAATATAATTTGGTTTTTCTGAAGAGTAGCTATGATACTAGATTTCTCAAATACCTCTAAGGATCTTATAATGAATACTCAAATCAATTAGTAAAAAAAAACTGGTGTGCTATAAAAAGGGTTTTGTTAATATTTAGGATGAGAACTTTCTAAGTTTAAGCTATAGTGCTTATTATTAGTACATACACTTTTAAAGCAGCTGAAAACTAGCCATTAAAAATAAACACTATTTCCCCTTGCTTGTAAGATTGTCTTTGATGTCTTGATTATAAGTGATGAAAATTGTATAAATTAGACAAATTTAGTAGATATATAATTTTAAAACACATAGGTCATTATTTATTACTTGAAAAGAAATTATTTTCCTTGTTTTTGAAGAGTAGAACAACAACAAACGTTCACTGAAGTAAGTGATCCTAGCAATCACATCAATTTATACACTCACAATAACAGACAAATTAATTACAATGTGTTAAAAGTACTTTATAGTTGTCTCAAAATTATTTTAGTGGCAATCCTAATTCAATAAATACATCTCAAAAATAAGAAAAATTAAAGCCAAACTTATGTTTAACTTTTTAATTCATTTTCTTCATTCTAAACTGTTCAGTTAATGCTTTCATGGCTTTATATTTACCAGACACAATTCTCAGTTTGGCTGAGATGTACTATATTTCGTAAGGAAACTAAAAGGCCTCGTTCCTTCCTAAGGTCTTTTACAAATTAAACTGCTATAAAATAAGGAAAGAAAACATTTATGAATAAGGTCAGAAATATCACATATTTGATACACCGCTGGACAGAGATGTGCTCGTACAGAACTGTAAAGGTAAAATGGTCATCACAGTACATGTAAACATAAACATCTATTCAGATTGGAAAGGGCAAACCCAAATGACATGATGATGATATTAACAGTCATCTCCAACAGGACGGGACAGGACAGGGCTTGCTCATGTCGTCACAAAGCTAAATTCAGGCAGTGATGTTCTCTCTCTGCTGGAAAAAGAGAACACTTATTAAAAAATAAAGAAATAAATAACAGAAAAACTCCAAAATTGAATTGCAGTATGAACTAATTCTAACTTACTAAGACATTTTTAAAAGTCTACTTGAGAAGAATCAAAAGTTACAAATTGTATTCAAGATTACCTTTGACTTAAGTGATTTTTTAACAAAATCTCTCGATATCATGCTTTCTAAAAATATTAGGTGTCAATATCACAGCACTACAAAACAGCTGTCATTGAAACTGGGGGAGGGGGCTAGAACATCTACTGAGGTCAGGTGGTATTTTTACACAGAGCTGTGAGCAGGCAAAGAGATTTTTAAAAATCACATACAAGCCTCAAGTCACTGTAAATAAACCAAAAACAAAAACAAATTTCTTACAGTTTCCCGAAGATTTTCAAAATAATCATAAGGATACCTTATTTCCTTAAACTCCATACAATTATCATTTCTTTAATTATCCTATATGACACAAAATTCTAAACCAAGCACCAAGTGCAATTACAAAAATTTAAAAAGGAACACATAATGAGACAGTGCCTGGGATGAGTGGATGAAATAAAGAAATAGAGGGGAGGTTTAGATCAAATATAAAAAGATATATAATACATGAGATCAAATATAAAAAGTTGATACAAAAAAGCTTTAAAATGTTCTCACTTAAGTAATGAACGTAGAGTACTAATAAACTATATCAAGTTAGATGCTTTTTACTAAGCATATCTGCTTTCATTAGAAATTACTGATAATGGCAATCATGGCCAGTTTTTTTTTTCCTTTCATAGAACTGGGTAGCTATTTACAAGATTACAATTCTGTGTGATAAGAGACAAAAAATAATAATACCACTCTTTTTTAAAGCAACACATGCACACCATGGAGCAGCCTTTTTTAGTTCAGAGAACTGACAAAAGTGAGCTCCTTATATCTAATGTAAAAGAAGGGTGTATTCTTTTTGGTTTATAAGTATTTTATACTTGTGGCTTAAAATCTATTATTAAGTGTCCAATTTTAGTTCATAGAATTTTAGAAGAAAAAAAAAAGTCCTAAGAAAAAACCCAGAGTGAGTAATAGAAAACTTCTTTTAGGACAACCTTGTTTTGAAGGCTTACTGAGATTTTAAGGGGGATAGAGCTACAGATATTTATACAAATGCTAGAACTAAAACTAGTTTTCTGTAATTAGCCTATATTCATTGTAGGAGGGGAGAAAACATATTTTGATAAGACCTGCACAGTACTCTGAGACAGTCACTGATATTTCAACAAATCCAATAAGCAAACGTTTGATTTCTTTTTGAGCCATTACACCCAATGGTCAGTGTTGCAAATAAAATTTGAATACAGCCCCTCTTCCCTCTCCCCAGAAAACAGTCCTGGTTACAAGATACCTTCTTCAATGAGACTTAGCCATACTTGCTATACGTAATCAGCTAAAACAGTAGTGTCTTTTCTTCATAGTAAACTACTGGTTTGTTACATTTGATCATATGACAATAGAACAGAACCTATGGAATAGTCTTCCATTTCTTGCAACATGTTTTCATTAAGTGTCGGGGCATCCGTTACTTGTTAAAAAATAAAATTACAATTTTCCAATAACATATAAAACATTGTTTAGAGATTAAAAATATTCAAAGTGACAACCATCCCTTGAAGTAATCCTAATCAATCTTTTAACCAGAAATACATAATTTTCCCTATAGTTGCCTACCTTGTCTCTAATCTTTTCCCCACTCCCAATTCTACCTGCACAGACAGATAACCAGATGCGTACAACAAAGCAGCAAACTTATCAGGAGAGCTGTAGAATTAAAAAGGTTTCTCCTTTTAGGTGACATATTGTAGAAGGAAAAATGGAGATGGAAAAGAAGATATAAATCTGCATTTGTTGAAAACTGGTATAATAGGCAAATAGTTTTATTTTTAAACCAAGTTTAGAAGCAAAGAGTAAAGTTTTAAGTGGGAATGAGTAGAACTTGTAAAGACAGAAGTTTACTTGTACTTTATAGGCTAAATGGAAAACTTGTGTTGGCAAATGCAAGCATTTGGAAACATACATACAAAACTTTAGCAAGAGGTATACGTAAATTATTAGAATCAAAGCTAAGTGGTTTCCACTGATGAGAAAAAGAACGTCAGGTAGGAATAACTGGCTTACAGATAGACGTATTTTGAACACTAATGTATCATCAGGGACAGTGGAGAGATAAAAGAGACGTTAGAGATAATTTAGTCTAACCCTTTTCATTTTATATATAAGGAACAAACTCTGGGAAAGGCAAGAGACCTGGCCACAGAGTTACCTACAACAGTTGAGGACAAAAGATGAATCTCTTGATCCTTGTTCAGTTCTCTAAACTGGGTCATCTATGGACCAAGAGAAATTTAATGAGATGGTCTAGATTGGTGGCATTCAGCATTTCTAACCATGCATTTTAATAAAAAAAAACCCAAAGATAAATTAACCCCTAGAAATGACTACAGTCTTTAATATTACACCATCTAGATGCCTTAACTGGGGACATGTCAGAATTGGTTCTAAGTGTCTACCTCAATCACTACTTTTAACCCCTGTGATGAGACACATAGCTCTATCACTTTATAAAATGGCCTTCATGACTGAGGAGGCTATCCAGAGAGATTTTAGAAAATTGATAAGAATTAACAAGGGAGGTAATTGTCAACCTCATTACTATAAATTTAAATATGCATCCATTCATTATTTCATCCAACAAACATCTAAGTGCTCACATGAGCCAGGCTTTACTATAAGCACTAGAGATAAAAAGATGAATAAGACATGGTCCCCTTCCTAGAGGAGCTTGCAATCAATCTAGTGGGGGAAGACAAACATATAAACCAGATAAATTATGTTACAACATTAAATATTATAACAGAGATATGAACAAAGCGCTTTTTAAAAGGGTAAACATATGAACTGTCTAATGACCAAAGAGTCTACTAATTCTGTGCAGTATTCTGAGGTAAAGACTATCATGGTTACTATAAACACAATCTCATGGTCGATTAGTACGAAGGGAAAAGACAGCAGCGGAGTTCTATAGTTTTTTCTTGTTTTGTAAAGTTGGTAATGAAATCACAAAGCTTATATCTAGTTCTCCCACTGGCTCACTAGGACTTTAGGTAAGCCACTCCATTTCTAGCAGCTTGTTTTCATATTAGTAAAATGAGAACTACCATCTACTTAAAAGAGGTATCTTAGGTTTTAAATAAAAAATATAAATGTGGACAGAGAGTACTAGTATTTATAAATATATTCATGAATTAAAAACCTAGTAGCAATGCATCAGTAAATATTTATAATAAAAGCCAGACTAATTCTTATAAAAGTACAACTGTAAATCTAATGAATACTGGAAATATGTAACCCTCATGCTAGGGAATGATAACGAGCCATAGTTGGTCTTCTGATTCATCCAAAGCACCATGCCTTAAAATTAAGTTATTAGGCAATTTCAGGCTAGCGAAGTTGACGAGCTATTTCTGAGCTTAAAAGAAAACTGGAAGTTCAGTGACATTTCTAGGGAAATTTACAATAAAATTTGAAACTATAATCAAATCATAAAGCGAAAAATAGAATGGAGATTTAACTGGCCTTGGAAAGATTTACTTTCTTTATAATACCTGTTTGGTGTAAAGAGAAGAAACGTGAGCCTCTGCCAATTTGGCATCTTTCACGACTACTAAAAAGAAAAGAAAACAAACTTACCTAATGAATGAGAATAGCACAAAGTAAACACACAAGAGACTACATAAAAATATACCACAGTCTAAGCAAACGTTAGAGTCATTATTGTAGCAAATGGAATCTGAGTTTGAAATTTTATATATAAATGTGTACTAACTGCAAGTCAAACATTCCTATAAAATAGTACTGTCATAAAAACATACAACTATAAGCCCAGTGGGGAAAAAGACAAAACACCATCTGAGTTGTACTACTGCAAAAGACTGGTACTGGTGGGATTAGGTTTTGACTGTGTTGGCCCCAAAGTGGAAGAAAGTAGTTTAGTTTTGTTAAAGAGGTGTTTTTTTAAAAAAAAAAATCATAATCTTGAGAAGCAAAAATACTTGAAATAAATATAGACTTTAAAAAGTAAATACAGTAATCTCCTACCCTCATTCTACAAAGAATATATTTCCTGAAAATGGTTTAACTAACTTTCAATAATTATATTTACGTGCCAGCGAATTCCACTTAAAAAAAATCACAATATTGTTGTAAATGTGAAAGATTTTTATATAAGTATAGTAAATGCACACTTAAAATATCAGACGGGAACACTTACCAAACAGTGTTTTCCTAAAGTGGTATCTATAGTACATTCTTTATTCATACATCTTCAAATGGGCAAGTTCTCTTTCATACATCCAAAATGTAATATGAAGTTGTCTTAGTCACCAAATGTTAGCGCTACTTGAAGTCTGGTTCCAAACTAATCAGCCTGCTTTTAAATTTTAAGACATCTGTTGAAAATGTATATGATCAAACCAAACTGAAGTGGTATCAATTTTAGACATTGGATTGTACATCATTATAAAGGTACCAGTACCCATTATTATTGAATGATTATAGATCCTTTTGATAGTCAGGGGAAGGCAGATCATCATCTGGAATGGTCTGTTTCATTTTCTCTTTTTTTTCTTTTTTTTTTCTTTTTTTTTTTACTTTTTCTTTTTTTTTTTAAATCAAGGAACATTGTCATGGATTTTTTTTCATTGCTTTTTTTTCTTTTCTTTTTTCTTTTAAAAGACCATTCCACTTTATTTTTAGCATCCAGATGCATAAGGACTCATATGTAAAGCAGTCATACACCATTATCATTAACACCCATGTGATAAAATACATACACAAATCCAACAAACGGCTAATACATAGTAAAGCCTAAGCATACTACTATGTAATATTATGAATACATAACTTGGAGACTTTAGTTAGAGTACTATGTCATCTATTCATTTTTGAAAACATTCATTAAGGTTTTAAATGCAAACTCATTCCTTATTTGGAGTAAAACAAAATCCTCTATGTTATGACAAGAACTGGGTCATAAGTATTCAAATCTATTCATTAATTTACAAATAACCCAAAGAATTCTGTAATGTTCAATAGAATTATGTAATAAAAACATTGCATATGTTCTATTGTGATGTCTTTAGCAATTGTTTACTGAAATAAAATGCAAACATCAATCTTTTAAAATACAAGATCAGAAGGTAGTTTTCTTCTCTTTTATCTATTTGTGAAATCCATCTTCATCATATTTTACCAAAAAGTGTTTTTACAAACATGTAAAAGTACATTAGATAATACTAATGAAACACAGGTAGAGTCCTAGCATATGCAGATCAGTGATCAGTCAAATCATCTTCTCCAAGAACGAGATTCATTGTCCTCTTCTTCTTCATCATCATCTTGAAGTAATGAGTCATCCACCAAAGACTCTTCCTGAAACTTTAGGTTAAGATGTATTTAGGAATTTACCCAAAATAAAAAAAGAAAAAAAAAAAAGAAAGAAAAAAAGAAAAGAAAAAAAGGAAAAAAAAAAGAAAGAAAAAAAAGTAACACTTTTAAATACTTTCTCGCTCAAGAGTTGAATGCAAACGGTTATTTCTATAGCTAAAACATGTCCTTATCCACTCAGTCTCTCTACAGTATGTTTTACTGCTTACATGAAGCAAGCAATAAAAATCAAGTTAAAATTGTGTACATGCCACTTCTACTCTGACAAATCATGCCATCTGCTGTACTTTAAAATAGTGCTCAATCCTTCTTTAAAAAGGGAATACATCAATTTTCACTGACTTACCCTAACTCTCAACATTCAAACAACCAATGACTTATAAAAATTCTACCACAACTTTAATTTGTTTTTTTGCTATCTGTAAAATATTTTTAAGGAAAACCAAACACCTCTTTCTTTTCCCCATTCCCTCCATAAAAACTTCTCACACTGCTTTCCCAAACTTCAAAATACCTAATACCAGGAGCTCTCCTGCTTTTCTCCCCATTCAATTCAAACTCAGGGAAGGACAAAGGTATAATCTAAAATATAAAATGACAAATCATGTACATGAGTTTCAAATACACATTTATTCTTGCATTTGACTATGGATATGCATAACAGACTTGAAATGCTCTTCAAACAAAGTGAAGCACCATTATGGAACTCTAACAAATATAAAACAAAATCTTTTACTTTCTTACCTTTATTTTTTAACTTCTTCAAAATTTTCCTATAGCTTTTTTCATGATTAAGCAAAACACAATTGCTTATTTTAAATTCTTTTGTCTTAAAGGCTTTTATCATTCACTGTCTTACCTGCCAAACCTTTATTCCACCGAATAGCTGGTGTTACCTGAGAAAAATGCAATCTCCCATTCTTATCCTGAAGCTCAAATTCTGCTGAAAATGCCTTTCTCAACTACATTCCCAGTGCCAGCACATAGTTACGGAATACTACTATATTCAAGACTCAGCTCCATTAGCAATAAGCCTTTAAGAGTGTTCTGGACAAATACAATTAGTCTTTCCTGAGAGCTCCCCCAGCATGTTGTCCAAGTCTGCATTCGGCACATCAATATGCCTGCTATTGCAATTAGTTCCTTCTGTCTCTGTCACCACCCTCTTTTCCAGATTATAAGCTCCTTGATGATAGGGACCGTGTCTTATTCATTTTTGAGCCTATCACAAAATCTACCACATAGCAGGTAGTCATTCTAATGTACTAAAGCAATATGAATTTAAAAAGGCTAAAATGTTGATACAGCAATTGAGTAAATTAAATACCCTAAAACATTACATATTATAAGATTTCCTGTGAACAAAAATCTAATGAAGAATTATTATCTTCTAGAGGAATTAAAAACTGATATATCACATATTCTTTTTAGGTTAGCCATCAGCAATTCTTCTCATTAATCCATAAAATATAAAAGTTGTCTGAATTTATCTGATCTCTCCTGGTTGGAATATGGCTTAGGAATAAAAGTATTATGTTAAAAGCACAGCCATAAAAATACCTTTTATAAAAGAAATATGAATAATGATGAGAAAACAAGTGAAAAAAAATAACATACTTCCTCTTCATCAGGTTCAACTTCTTCCGTTTCCACAGCTGAAATATTGGTTATTGGTTTATTCCACGCCAGTTTTAAATCCTGCCCTTTGAATCGAGCTCCATGAATTGCAGCCTAAAACAAGTAAGAATATAAGGAATGAAGAATATTCTCATAAGCAAGTATTATTTCACTCTTGGTCAAATTTTAGTAAAAATTAGTATGTTTGCCAACTTACAGCCCAATGACAACTACTACTTAGACAACAATCCCATTATCCATCAAGATTTCAGCTCTAGCTTCTAACGTCTATTTTAAGATCAACATACTAAATGAATTTTGCTTCATTAACTGTCAATTTACATCTGATACATATAGTAACTATTAACTAGAAACCTTTAACAAATTAATGATCAAAACCACTGTAAAACGATGCATAACTAACACAAACTATAAACACCTTAAGAAAAGGAAAAGGTCACAGCTCTGAACTTATCTACAAAGAAGCAGTGTTTCCTATGAAAACATTTCGAAAATGATGGTGATGACAGCTGAAAAAAAAGTTCAGGTCTGAGGTTAGTGCTATATAGTCAGTAGCGGGTACAGAAACACCATTTTTAAAATAACAAGAATGAACAAAAATCAATAATAGCAACATTTTAAAGTAACTCATGGTCACAAAAGATTTATAGTACAGACTCAAAGTACAAAATAATAAGAAGCATAGAAACAATTATATATACAATAACACCTGAAAATCTGTTGTATGTTAATATTAATGGCCCAACATACAAATTTTAAATACATACATACATATGGATGTTTTAGTTCAGAAAAAACTGAAAACTGAAGCTGAAATCCTTTCATAAGTATATCAGATTATTTTTAGGAATAATAAACAGCACATGCAAAATACCTATAAATTTTTTTTCTATTTAGCCAAAAACATAAATATAAAAAGTACAAACTATGATCAGCAACCTATACAGTAAATTTTAGGTAAGCAGTTTATTTTGTTTCTGGGGGAAAAGGTCTTTGCTATGTATCTCTACCAAGACTTGAACTCACACTACTCCTGCTTCAGAGTTTCCTACTAAGGAACAATACAGTTGTGTAATACTACACCTTGCAGCAACAGGTTACTGACAAATTTTTATGACAAATGAATTTTGTCCATTTCTACATTCAACACATATTTCAAATTTGTAAGGTAAACTTTTGTTTTTCCCAAGACAGGGTTTCTCTATGTAATAGCCCTGGCTGTACTGGAACTTGACCAGGCAAGCCTCAAACTTGTGTCATCGCCTGACACTGCTTTCCAAGTGCTGGAATTAAAGGTGTGCACTACAGCTGCCTGGCATAGGGTGAACTTTTAACTTTATAGCATTTTAATTTTTTAAAAACTGGATGGAGGGCCAAGTAGTCTCCAAAACACCACTATTACAGTTGCTCTTAGATACTGGAGGTTTTTAAAAACTAGGTGTTTTCAATTTTTAATGAATTTTGTTCTTTAGAAACTTTTAACAATCCAGGCTATATAAACCTGTGAAACAACTTTGAATTTTTGTTCCCTGAAGATGAAAATTTAATTCAAGAAACCTAAGCTTTTCTCATAAGAAACATTAAGTTCCATGATTATTTTCATTGTAGTAAAATCTATTTATAATAAGCCTTTCAGAAATTAGAATGTAATTCAGGTAATTTAAAACATAATTATTTCTGTAACTCACCCATTTTATCTATCTGTCTGTCTGTCTATTTACCTATTTATCTAACTTTTCAAGACAGGGTTTCTATTTGTTTACTTATTTTTTTCTGTTTTGTTGGTTTCCAAGGCAGGGCTTCTCTGCATAACCCTGTCTGTCCTAGAACTTGCTCTGCGGACCAGGCTGGCGTTACACTCAGATCTGCCTTCCTCTGTGTCCCTAGGACTGAGATTAAAGGAGTACACCACTACACCCAGGTTCATTTTATATTTTTTAAAATTCAAATTTAAGTAGTATAGTATAAAAATTATTATTCATAATTATCATTATTATAAGGCTAAGAGATAGCCACCACTATATAATTTGGGAGAGAGGGCAGTGCTAGTGGAAGTCGGAAGAGGACACAGGATCCCTAGGAGCTGGAGTTATAGGTGTTGTGAGCTGTCAGATACTATCCAGAAAAATAATTCACAAAATAGGTGAAAGTGTGTAAGATTCAGAGACATAAAAAGATAGTTTTGGGTTGGTAATACAAGTTAAAATAGAAAGTGAATTAGTAGAACACTTGAACATACCAAGGCAGGGCAGGTAATGGAGTATTTTCTCTGAATTTGTCAACTGCAAATGGACTAGACATTGTTAATGTAATTATTATCTACATACATTTGTATGTAGTTACTGTATATAGTTTTACTATATTAGCTAAAACCATTGCTTTTTATTTAGACAAAAAGAGAGAAATGTGTAATATTATTTGTGTTCTTATATATAAAGCTTGCTTGGAGTCAGAGGGTGGAGCTAGCCACTGGTTTTAGCCATAAAGAGGAAACAGGAAGCGATAAGGCTGGGGCAGAGAGAAGACCCTTCAGGAGGAACCCCAGGCAGAGGTAAGAAGTCACTGGTGAATACTGTGCTGCTTCTCTGATCTTTCAGGTTTGTACTCTGGTATCTGACTCCTGGTTTTTATTGATAAAGATTAATTAGATTAATACTTCACCTGATGCTAGAAACTGAACTCGGGTTTTCTACAAACAGCAATAGTCATATTTAAGCACCAAGTCACCTTTCCAGCTCCTCATTAACTTTTTAAACAATGACGCCTGCTTGGATTTTTCTAATAGAAAAAATTTTTATCATAATTATAGGAATGTAATTTTGCAAGATAATTTATTATACTTTTAAGAAGTAGTTATTCTTTGATTTTAACAGAAAGTTTTAAATTTTTATGTAATAGAATTTATCAGACTTTTCCTTTGTAGATATATGTCCTGGGATTAACTCCAACACTAGGGAGGTGAAGACAGATATGGGATATGGCTTGACGGAGAGAAAAATATACGGTGGAGAGAGACAGGAGCTCAAGCATTTGGTCTGAGGACTTGGAGAGAGAGGATGCCCTATTCAGTCTGAGGATTTTGTGGAGGTAATAACTAGTGCTGACTACTTTCTCTGATCTTTCAGCTTTCACCCCCTAATATCTGACTCTGGGTTTTTATTATTAAGACCAATTAGAATTTGCACTACAGTGCAGTAATGTTAATGGAAATAGGACTATATATAAAAATGCACAAAACAAGAAGAATAGAAAATAGTCCCATGTCAGTGTAAACACAGTTAAAAATCCACTATATTTTCAAAATCCTCCAAGTTATCAAAATTCATCCGGAAAGGTTGTTTCATTTGGTTTGCTTTTTGTTATTATTGTTGCTTTGAGACAGTTCTGTTATACAGTCCTGGCTGGTTTCAAATTAACTATGATGACCCTGAATAATGAGATTAGGAACACATGTCATCAAGCCCAGCCTTTAAAGGGAAAAAAAAAATTCTTAAAATTTTTTATAGTAAAAAAAAAGTATTATTTCAAAGTACTAAAAAAGATGGAAATTTTATCATCATGTTTTGTAGAAGCAAGTATCATTAATATGTAGAGGAAAATTCTTCATGTAAAACTAAAACCTCTCAGAGAAAATTTAATAAAGTTCTACCTAACACACATATACTATTGTTTTTAAATAATCACAATTTTTTAAAAAAAATGTGTTTTTTTTTTTCGATTTTTTCAAAACAGGGTTTCTCTTTGTAGCCCTGGCTGCCCCAGAACTTGCTCTACAGGCCAAGGTGGGTAATTAAAAGGTTAAGTACTTCCCACATAAGCATGAGAAGAATTCAGATCTCTACTATCCAAGTAAATGCCAGAAGGCATGACAGTCCAGCAGTAATCCTAGAAGTCAGGGGATCCTTACATCAAGGTGAGCTCATCAAGAGGCACAACCTCAATATAAAATGAGAGTAATTAAGAAAGAGACACTGAACATCAGTCTCTGGTCTCTACAAGCACATGGATACACATGCAGACACACCCACAAACATGCAATTACACAATGTACACATGCACACACACATAAACTGAAGATATTTCTGGGTTGTCTTTTGAAAGACAATTCAAGCGCAAGGCAGGGGCATGGTGATGCGTACCTTTAATCCCAGTACTAGGGAAAAGAGATAGACACATCTCTGTGAGTTCAAGGCTAGCCTGGTCTACATAGTGCACTCAATGATAACCAGAGCTACACTGCCATAAAGATCCCATTTCAAAAATACAAAACAAAGGGGCCTGGAGAGATGGCTCAGCGGTTAAGAGCACTTCCTGCTCTTCCAAAGGTCCTGAGTTCAATTCCCAGCAACCACATGGTGGCTCACAACCATCTGTAATAAGGTCTGATGCCCTCTTCTGGCCTTTGGCATACACATAGATAGACTATTTATTATAATAAATAATAAATAAATATTTAAAAAAAATACAAAACAAAAAAGACAATTTAAAGTATATCGATTAAGATAACTATATAACAAGGAATCTAAAAGCTAGAGTGACATATCTTCTCTTGGACAAATAACAGCAGCCTATTCAGGCATATACTAAACAAGAGATGCTTCTGTAGAACTCAACCTGCAGGGACCCGGAACTCATAGGTGAAGGATAAATAAAAAGGGCAGGCAGAATCACACTTTCTCTACATCTACCCTAGATAACTCTTACCATTATTCTACTAATGCAGAGTTTGTCCAGATAAAACAGTAAACAGTGGAAAGAGTGGCCCTAATTTCTGTAAAAAGAGCTTATGACATCTTCGAATTAGAGCAATATTGAATTCTACTTGGTGTCTAACTTATACATGCTATATGATGTAGTAGCGTTTCATTTGCATTTTAATAAAAAAAGTTTGCCTGAAGATCAGAGAGTAAAACAGCCTCATAGGTCAGCCTTACCCACCAGGCAGTGGTAACACACACCTTTAATCCCAGTAGCCACACTAGTTGCCACAGAGACCGGGAGGTTCATGCCTTTAATCTCAGGGGTGCACACCTTTAATTCCAGCCCTAGAGAAGATTTTAAGATGGGAGGAGAGGGCTCTCAGACAGAGTCTCATTCTGAGATTTCTGGAGGCAGGATCGTCATTTCGGACTGAGGTAGAGGTAAGAGCCACTAGCTGGCTGTTTTAGTTTTCTGACCTTCAGGTTAAACCCCAATATCTGACTCTGAGTTTTTATTATTAGTGCTTCAATATTACATTGTATTAGTATTATGTTTATTATATTAAAATGTTACATACAGATTCCCTAAGAAAATAAAGACATTTCTTTGATAAACACAAACTTGCACTTCAAATGTTCTACCTTCTGTCAAAGTACAATTAATCAGGAAACTTGAAATTTATATTAAAACTTAAGGAAATAAAAATGATTTAAATTGAAAGTTTTAATTATTTTAACACTTACAGCTTCTGCTTCTGCTCTTGTCTTGAATGTAATTATCGCATGAAGTGATGAGTCGTCAATCTGACAATCCTCAATTTCCCCATATTGCTGTAAATTAATAAATTATTTCCTCAAAATAAATGTTTTAAAATATCTAAAACCCCAACTGCATTAGAAAAGTAATAAGCATAATCCAAAATATATAACTTATACTGCTTAAGAGACAAATAGTTATTTCATCTAATCCCATCTTCCAATCTCAGTTCTAATTCTATACTTCCCAGAATTAGCAACATTATGCTCTATTTGAGAAATAATGGATAAAATAATAATGGTCAAAGCCTGAGGTTGCTTACCAACCTTCCTTATTACGCCAACCTCAGGAAAAGGTAAATTTGTTCTTAAACAGTATACTGAATCATCAAAACGAGGAAATTCTTGTATCATTTTTAGTAAAAGGGAGGAAAGATTCAGAGAATTCAAGCAATTTTTCCAAGCATTCAAGCAAATTATCAAGATGAAGATCCAGGCCTTCTGATTGTAAATTCAACATTAACTAAGCATGGGTTCCCTTACTATGCATCCTATTATGGCTTACACAATTTACAATACTTAAATACTAACCTAATTATACTATGCCTGATTGGAGTTTGCTGTATTTTCCCCAAATTAAGGAAGATTTTTCTAAACAGCAATTTTACTACATTAGTTCTTTGTATATTACTAATATTTTCCTTTTGTTCCAAAATAAAAGTACAGCCATAAATTCATTAAATATAAATTTTTGTGAACTAATTTATACTTGTACAAGTTATTTAATCTCTTCAGGTTTCATGTCCTCACCTTAAAAAAAAATGGGCAAAATAGCAGCCAATCTTAGTGCCAACTTAACTATGTGAAATTAACTAAAACCCAAAGATGGGGCACACCTGTGAGAGTTGTTTTGCTTTGTTTTTAATTAAATTATTTGAAATGGGAAGACCCATTTATAATATGGATCTTTGAGGTGGGAAAATACACCTTTAATCCAGGTAGTTTGATGTAGAAAGATCCATCTTCAATTTGGACCACACCTTCGGCTGGCAGCCTACATAAAGGACATGGAAGAAGGAAGCTGGCTCTCTCTGCCTACTGATAGCACTCTCAACAGCAAGTCCATTCCTTCTCTGGCAAGAATGGTCTATTTTGGGGGGATTTCGGTGTCTTACTGAAGCTGAGACAGTCAGTCTTGTGAACTGGACAACTACTGGATTCCTGGAACTTCCATTGGTACAGACAATCACTCTTGGACTAGCTGGACCATAGCCTTTAAGTCATTCTAATAAATCCCCCCCTCACTCTTTATGAGACTCATTCTTTTAAGTTCTGCTCCTCTAGAGAATCCTGACTAAATCAAGTGGTCATTCAAGTAATTCTTAATATCCCCAAAAAATTTCAACTGTTTTTATTACCATTGTTACTGGTTTAACTAGATAAATTTTAAAAAGCATTTGTTAAATGCATTTTTTCTGTCAACGGTCCTTAATCTCTATACCCTGTCTCTTATGCTCAGAGTTAAAAAGGCTAAACTTTGAAATGTATACTCTTAACACTAGTATTCTTCATGAGCAAATAACCACTTCTAACTTAGAGCTAAAAATCTCCAAGTTTATGGAACAATTTCTATTCTTAAGTTTCTGAATATTTATTTCTCAAACATCTTAGTCTGAGCAAAACACAATTATAACAAACGATTGTTTTAGCATATTGATTGCTAGTCCCCTAATTAGCTCAATAACTATATACAAGACAGGTAGATTATCTGGATCTCCTTTCCTTAGTAGAGTGGGACACAGAGGAGGAAGAGCTGAGTTGCATCGCCAAGCACATTTCTAGTTCTCAGTCTTTATGCGTCTGAATCCAGCAAGCACAGGACTCTCCAGACTCCTCAGCCTTAAATATTAATCACTTTAGTTACTTCATAAACATCAATTATTTCTTTCAAAACTTCCTTATATTTGGATAAATATTAACTAAAAGCTTGAAATGTGAATGCCAAAAACCGAAATATAAATTTCTAAATGATGAAGACAGTTAATACGTATTCTTCTAGTTCTCAGTTTCAATTTTATTAATTGCTAAACTTTCCTCCACTGATCTTTTCACCACACGTCAGGGTCAAACTAGTCATTGGGGTCTTTAAGTGTTTACTAAAATGAAGTTTGGTTCAACTGACCTGCGTCAAAGCAATGTATCTTAAAAGCTCTGTGAGTAAGGAACTGATGGTTCTTCCTCTCTCTGATGTAATTACCAGAATACCTAGGTTAATACTGACGTTTAGTAACTTATGTTCTGGCTAACACTAAACACTGAAATAACTACAATGAAACGGTAAGGTAGGTATAGTCTCCATTCTGCACATTAGCCTATGAATCCCAGGAAGTCTAAACAAACAATGGATGATTAGGGACTAGAATCTCCTTCTCTTAGCCACTCTACCACTAGATAAACTCTCTTAAATTTTACCCTTGATCTAAGTAAGACAACTTTTAGATTATACATCAAAAGTGTATCTTCCTTCAATTTTACTAGACTCTATGAAAACCTTATAATTTATTTTCATATTTAAAAATCAAAATGGTCTAGATAACATGCCAATTTTTCTTTAAGTTATCAACATAAACCTACTCATAAGGTCCCTCTCTGAAACAATGACGCTTAAATAATTAGCCTTATAGTATTTAAAGGCCTATCTAGTTTTGAGAATTATAAAATTTTAGCTGGTCCGTGGTAAAGCACACCTTTAATCCCAGCACTTGAGAGGTAGAGACAGGAGAATCTCTGAATCTGAGGCCAGACTGGTCTACAAGTGAGTTTCAGGACAGCCAGGGCTACAAAGTGAAACCCTGTCTTGAAAAAAAAAAAATATTTCTCACAAATAATCAAAGAGACCCTGTTTCTGTTTTATAACTAACAAAAACTAACAAAAAAAAAAAAACTACTATACATTTTCCTAACCTTTCCTTTAGTTATATCTACTAACCCAACAAACAATTATTTGTATTATTTTTGTTAGAGGTTAAGAAAGTACCGCAAAATGAGGAAGAAGATCTTCTCTGTCACTCTCTGTAAATGCGGAAATCTCCAAGGCTCTGGGCCGGTGATCCACCACAGCATGTCCAGGAACACCTCGTCCTCGACCTCTACCCCTGCCCCGGCCATGAGCTGCACCGCGACCTCTTGGATGAATTCCTCTACCTCGGCCAGATGAAAGAATTCCTCTTTTAGCAGCCTAGAAAAGAAAAAGTGCATAGGTTACACATGTAGTAAGTAGGCACTTAGACCTCTAATTTGAAAAGCCTAACTCTGTGTTTCTGAGCTTTCAGATTTTAAAACATTTCCATTGATTTTCTTTACTTGTTGAACATAACAAGTAAATTCAATACTATACCTGTGTTAACTAAAGCCATGTGTTACAATTTCAAAAATGATTCTCTGACATCCATGGTCATTATCCATACATATACACACATATATGCAAGCAAACACTCATTCAAAAGAATAAAATAAAACTTGGGAGCAACTCACCTAAAATTTGGTAATTCTGAATATATACAGGTTGAACAAAGAAACGGTGTGATCAAGACTCCCTCCATATTTCTAATTTGAGTAACTATATATACAAACGTTGTAAGCAAGATAAACAATGATGAACATGCTGATAGGGTATTTGACGTCCAAGCAATAACATCAAATTATGAGCACCAAAAATAAACACATAAAATCAAATAATAATGCTTAATGAAATAAATAAAGCAGGCACAGAAAGACAACTACTTTAAGATTTCATTTACACACAGAATCTGAAACAGCAATCTCATAGAAACAGAAGAATGGCTATTACCAAGGGCTGTGTTGGTGTGGAAAATAAGGGAAATGTTGGTCAAAATGTACAATGGAATAAATTCTATCATCAGTTGTATAGTATAGTGAGTACAATTGATGATAGTAGATGATATATGAGAAGAGCTAGGGAAGAAAATTTTTGATATATTTTCATAAGAATTTGAATATGTATGAATTACTTTGATAACTCATTTCATGATATATACATATACTAAAACATCATGCTACATACCACACACATACAACTCTTAACTGGTCAATTAAAAAATACTGAAATAAAATAATATAGTTTGAAGGGGCAAGATTATTAAAATTAAACGTATGAAAAGTATGCCCTGCAGAATATTAATGACACACAGATAATCCCTGAAAATTAAGCTACAGCGAGCCTATAATTTGGAGATTCAATCTAAAGGTCTCTAAAAAATCCTATAGTCAAACAGCATATTCAGTATGACCTTTTCAAATTATACTTAATCTTAGAATATGTGCTAACGAGTCTCTATTAATGATAACAGAATTACTATAATGTGCATATTCTGGAATCTACTACATTACTGCATATATGAGTATTATTGAAAACCAAAGCTGAGTCACCATAAAGAACAGAAAATACCATTTTACCTTTGGCTGAATTACAACAAGTAAAACATAGAACAATAAATTTTTGTGTTATTTTTATTTATTTATTGTTATTTACTTACTAATCATATGTCAGAAATTTTACAATACTAATGGTACTAATGGTACAAAATATTCATAAGGAGAAAATAATTTTAAAATTAATGGAAGAAACCTATTGTTTTGGGTAGAATATGTAGGCAAACCAGATCATGTTTCAAGGGAATGCAAGTGTATACATGTTTAGGACAAAATTTCATAGCTTTTTCTAACTTTCAGATAAGACCTAGCCCAGGACATGGCCAGTAGGTTCTAAAAGTTAAATCTTTAAAACTTATACAGCACTAAACAGATTTCTACTGCATTGTAAGGTGAAGGGAAAAAAAAAATCAGTGTCAACATACTCTGTAAGAAAAGTTTAATTAAGCAAAATGATCTAAAATGTTAAAAAAATATAAAAATAAAAAACCTTAGATTGTATCAAGCAACAGTAAACAGACATTAATATAGTTTTATATTGTTATATAATTTTATTTCTATACATTTTAATAAATGTTAAGCATCATGTTTTATAAGAGATCAATTGCATGAGGAGTTTCTTATATAACCATTAACTGAATTATAAGGTAGCTTATCTTCTCTTTTAAAACAGCCACAGCACCATCTATAGGCCAAACTTAAAGAAGCATGTGTTTAAAAAGGTTTACAGCTGAGTCTATTCTTTAGCCACTCAACAATACAATATGCCTAGATAACTTTACACATATAAAGACTGTTTTCATACAATTACCTGAAAAGCCTTTAACTGTATTTAATCCAAAGAAGAAAAAGAGAAAGAACAAAAACAAAGAAGAAATAAAATTCACTAGAAATGGACACCAGGGTGTATAGGTAGAAGCAGTAAGATGTCTCAGAGGGTAAACACACTGCAGTCAATGCTCAAGAGCCACATGGTAAAAGGAGAGAACACACCCCACAAAAGGCCCTCATATTCCTATGCAAATGAATAAATTAACAAGCAAAATAAACTTTTTTAGAAAATATTTTCTCTAGTCATTCTGTAAAAATCCACCCCCACAAATACACGGTGGTCAGCAATTGTTAACTAGACCCCAAACCCACATTTTCATGTTAACCATAACTGTAACCACTTCTTCCAAGTCAACTGTGTGACTGTAATAAACATACCTCCAACTGTAATTCTGTATACTTCCTCCTTAGTTCTGTGACTTCTTCTCCAGCCTGCATCTTCTTATATAAATCCAATTCTGTGTCAAGCAATTCTTTCTGCATCTGAAAAAGTTATTAATGTTTCAAATAACAATTAATATTCTGATCTTATGTAAAATTTTTACAAGATCCTTTTGCTCATATTCCTTTTCTCCCCCTTTCTTTTGGCATGGGCTAGTTACATATAAAGTCAAGATTCTCCTGTGTTGACTTCATGAATGACAAGATTAAATGTATGGGTCACTATGAAAACTGACATTCCTATTTCATGTGATATCATTCTAGCAAAAGTATCCTAATCCTTATTCTCATTGATTTCCCTAAAATTCATTGTCTATACCACAGCCAGAGTATGATTTCTATGAGCTAATAATGTAATAACTTCTGGGAGGAAAAGGGCTAACAAGCAATATATGTCTTTACATAGGTAAATACACCAAGTAATGACAAAAGGTACCAATGGGAGTTGTGTTAGGGATACTGTTATCAGGGGCTGGGGAAAGGAGTCTCTTATATGTATCTTTTTATGTACTTTTGAACCATGTTATTATTAGTTACTTTAAAAATTTTTAAACCAGTAAAAACTGGAATCAGAAGAAAGAATTCAAAACTGAAAACAGGCATAGACCTAACTTTATCTAATTAAGAGTATTTACAAAAAGGACTCAAAGTAAAGCAACATCATAGTCTGATCTAATCTTTTTTTAAAAAATATTTATGTATTTATTATGTAAACAATATTCTGTTTGCGTGTATGCCTGCAGGCCAGAAGAGGGCACAGATGGTTGCGAGACACCATGTGGTTGCTGGGAATTGAACTCCGGACCTTTGGAAGAACAGGCAATGCTCTTAACCCGAGCCATCTGTCCAGCCCCGTCTGATCTAATCTTTATTGGAATACAATTAGTTTGTAAAGAATATAAATAAAATGGACTGCAGGTCAACTTGAACGATGAATAAATTGATGTTATGAAACCAAGTCATCACTATGGAAACTGACAGTAGAGCATAATTTTTAAAGAAGAGTAAGGATGTGATTTAGATTGAAATTAGAAATGTCGGGCTGGAGAGATGGCTCAGTGGTTAAGAGCACTGCCTGCTCTTCCAAAGGTCCTGAGTTCAATTCCCAGCAACCACATGGTGGCTCACAACCATCTGGTGCCCTCTTCTGGCCTGCAGGCAGAGTACTGAGAATACTGTATACATAATAAATAAATAAATCTTTAAAAAAAAAAAGAAATTAGAAATGTCAGTGTGGCTTTATACACACACAAGGAATAAATACTGTACCACCTATATTTTATCACTTGTTGCCATCTAAAAACATCTTGCTCATTTGTTTAGATCATCCAGAGTAATACATCTGAATTTTTTCCCTTTGCAAATTCTTCTGGACAGTGATAATAGGTTACTTCCTATCATGAGCCTTTTATATTACTAACTAGTAACAATACATAGTTCATACTTCTTGACCATACAATCAAGTACCCATATCATTTTGTCCCAAACTACCTTTTTAAAATTATCCATAATAATTTTATAATAGCAGGTTTCACACTGTAAGAAGTATAGTTATGATTAGTCCAATTCTGAACAAAGGATACATCCTAAAAAAAAACCTTTAAAAAATCATGTTTGATATTTTTATTTTAAAGCTCTTTTTAAAAAACTTATTTGTATTTATTATACATGGATGTTTCGCCTGCATATGTATCTGTGCACTATGTTCATTCAGTGCACTTGGGGGCCAAAAGAAAGCATGAGATCCTTTGGAACTGGAGTTACAACAGACAGTTGTTAGCTGCCAAGTAAGTTGAACCTAGGTCCTCTGAAAGAGCAACTTAACCACTAGGCCATCTCGCCAGACCCATGCTTGATATTCTTAGTAAGCAGTCATATGGAAAACAAAACAGAATACCTGAGTCTTCGTTTTTATACTTTTTGGAAGACAGCGTCCAGGAGATGTAGCTTTGACTTCATCTTTCAACTTGGTAATATTTTTTGTCAAAACCTCTAATGTTTTCATTATTTCTGCTTTATCTTCAGACTTCATTGTTTTGTTTTTCTCTAGTTTTGAAATTAGCATCTGGCAAATTTTAAAACAGAAATCTTAAGAGACCTACTCCTACTGACAACAAAACAAATAAAGTAAAACAATTAAAACAAATACTATTTTTAGTTTATTGTTCTCAACAAAGCTGACATATCTAAGTGTATAAAGATAGAAGAGCAGGCTTGGGAGCAAACAGCATAATTACAACCAGCTTACTTTGGGAAGAACTTTACTATTATTTGGCTCTCTTAGAACGTAAGATCTGAACAGGAGAAGTAAGATAGGAGATATCACATGGAATTGTGTTCTCGGAGTTAAGATAGCGTCAGTTTTGTATGAAGCACTATGATTTCACCTTAATGAAGTATATCCAAAATAAGAAAAGACCATATTTATAATCTTATGTAAGTTTTTCAACAATCTTAACATGTAGCCTACACTACAAATTACTAAGTAATTTGACAGCCTTCGTCTCCTCAGGTGCTGAGATTATATTAATGCACCACTGTACTCCAACAAAACATTTTTTCTAAATTTTTACATTTCTACTACATTATAAAACATATCAAAACTGATTTCTAAGCCAGATAGTAGTGGTGCACACCTTTAATTCCAGCACTCAGTAGGCAGAAGCAGGCAGATCTCTCTGAGTTCAAGTCCAGCCTGGTCTACAAGAGCTAGTTCCACAACAGCTAGGACTGTTACACAGAGAAAACCCTATCTCTTAAAAAAACAAAAACAAACAAACAAAAAAAGCTAATTTCTAATTAAAATGTCATAAATTAGAGAGCAATCTGCCCCAAAAATGTCAGCCAAGAAATGCCAGCCACATTAAGTAAGTTTTAAAGATTTAGTTTATAATTGATGTGTATGTGCTTGTGCCATATGCATGCAGATGGCCATGGAAGCCAGAAAACAGGGTCTGGTACCTTGCAGCTAGGGTTACATGCAAATGTGAAGCACCTGATATTGGTGTAGAAACCCAAACTTGGGTCCTCTGAAATAGTAGTAGCAAATGCTCTTAACCATTGAGCCATCTCTCCATGTCCACAAATAATTTGATTGTTTTATCAATCACATTAAAAAGATAAAAAAGGAAAAATAAGATTATGTTGGCAGAAGCCATTTATTCATTTCCCGGCCGCCCAGATCTGAGATAACAACACAGAAACTATATTTATTAAAACACTGCTTGGCCTATTAGCTTATGCATACTTCTAGCTAACTCTTACATCTTAAATTAACCCATTTCTATTAATCTATGTATTGCCACATAGTTGTGGCCTACCCGTAAGTTTCTGTGGCAGCTACATGGCTTCTGTTTGACTCTGCCTACTCTCTCCACCTCTATCTGCTTGGAATTCATACCTTGCCCTATTCTGCGCTGCAACAGGCCCAAAGCAGATTCTTTATTAGATAGTATTCACAACATACAGAGGAGAATCCCACATCAAAATTAATTAATTTAGCCTAGTGTACCAAAATGTACATTTCAACAATAAAAAAATTCTAAGATGTTTTTCTTCATACAATAGCTTTGAAGTCTGGCATATAATTATAATTTTCCTTACAATTTTGACTAGACACAGGGCAAACGGAGCAGTCAGGTGTGGCTTTTGATTACTCTTGTATAAGCCCGGAGTAGAGAATCCCAATTAGTGAAAAGCATGTCAATAATAGTAAAAAGATTTCATTTCATTATTCACTGACCAGACTACAATAACAGAGCTAAATAAACTTATTTTCAATTTGCGTTGATAGCCATTTCCATATAAACTATACATACACTTCATAAATTTCTTCAACTACAATACTAATAAATTAATACACATGATACACTAAGTTTTTTTTATTTTTACCACTACCAATTACAATAAATCTGCTCACACTATGAATTAAAAGATTAAATTCAATAGAAATAAGAACGCTGGTATTTTGCCAAATACTTTTATTATTTTACCTTCTGTGTTTCAATGTGCTTTTCTAAAATTTCTTGCTTCCTTTTTCTTACATCCTGCTGAAGTTTCAGTGCCTCCTAAAAGAATCAAAATATCATTTGAGTAATATCTAACGATATCTAAAGATAAATAAAGCAATACAAGAAAGGCAGTTTTAGTTGAAGAAGTGTGACAACAAAAGCAATACACTAAGTTTCTATCCGTGAAGCTTAGAAAATGCATGCAAGAGTCAAAGATCAAAAAGAAGAAACTTCCCTTTACAGTAAATGGAAAATTGGGGGGAGGGGGCTACTTATTTCTACATACAGATCTACCTATCTAGTCTCACTTTGTGGTAAGTGCCTTATACACACACTGACTGGAGGAGTCTTCCTAAGTGCAGATTTTATGTCATGCTATTTATGCTTACCTGTTTCTTTTTCTGTGCTTCATTACTATCAACTGCAGGGGTAGAAACTAGTAAAGTTTTCTGTGCAGCCTTCAAAGCAGCTGGATTATACACCGTTTTTGTAAGGCCAGTAGATGTAGACAACACCTACCAACACAAATTCAATTTTTTCAGAGTGTTATCATTCATAATTTTTTAAGTCTTGCTTCTAAGAAACTCAAACTTTAAAGCATTCCTGCCTAAAATTAGCATGCTGAACTAAATGTATTATATACTTAAAATAACTAAATCACATTTTATGACTTGAAATGAATGGTTTGAGTGAATAAGCCCTAAACCAAACAAAAATTTCCTAGTGACTTAATATCTGTTACAAAAATTCAAAGCCAAACATGTAAATCTTGAAATCAAAGAAGAAAAAGGACTGCCATTACTGTATTTCTCAGAAAATACTTGTGAATATATCTCTGCCTATCTCTACTGAAGCAAAAAAAAAAGCACAAGAGAAAAACTGAATGTCATCCTACAAACAATTTAGTATTATCACTATAATTTGAAGTTCCAAAATAAATGCAGCCATCACTCTCCATTCCCTGCAGGCTATATTCTGAAGTGATCTAACCTCTTAAGCCAAGCTCAGATGCAGTACAAGCCAAAGCTCTAACCATTTCTCTTTTCTGCCCAATATTTAACAAACAACTTTTTATTCCTTAAGCCATGATATAAAATACCATTAAATGTTGTTAGGTAATATAAACTATTTAATAAATTTTAAAAATTCTGATAGTGATGTCTTCCTTCCTATCTATACTGCAAGAGCCTTGAAACAAAAAAATAGTCTTTCTCTTCTTTGTGGTTCTTGAATCTAAGTCTTACTGACACAGAATTATGAGACTTTGGTTAAAGTAAACTTGAGAGGTGGGGTAACTTCTTATCTATAAACTGAAGAGGTGGGGTGTGCTTATCTATAAACTGAAGGTTCACTCCAAAACACAAACTCAAAGCTCTTGCTCTCCTTGAACACAAATTACTGTTTCACTTTTATCACGATGCTGTTAGCACCTAAAACAGTACAGTCACACATGATAAATATTTCCACACTAAATTAAACAAATGATTATAGATTCAAGTGGAATACCCTTTAAAACACAAGGTTTATTTTAAAAAAGGACAGCTCTGACAATCTACTTATTTCCTTTACTAAGCTCCATGAGGTGACGGGTTCCCAGAAAAGATGGTATCAACAGATTCTATTAAACCTAATCAAGTAACCATACACCATGAATTTCCAGAGAAAATATTATTGCTTCAAATGTCTTAAGAGTTCCTAGGCTAAAACATAATACCCAAGGACGTAAGAGTATAAATGAGAACTATCACCCTATTTTTAGCTACTATGTTAACATCTGGTGTAGCATAAAGCAGCGATTTGGAGAGCACTGTCTAATCTTTCCTCATGGAATTAGAAGGAAAAAAAATGGGCAACTCATTACTCTTCCATGTATCTATGAATGTCTCAAAATCTAAATAAAATAAAAACTGTTATTTTACCTCCACAGAGCACACCTGATGTTTAAAAGATAAAAGAAAATAATATTCTAAATGTACCCAAATTTCATGTGTAATTTTCTTCAAGGTTAAAAACTGTCACATATCACTAATAAACATGAAATAGTAACTATGAAATCCTTGCATTCATTAGAATATAAAACATGGATTTAGCTTATAGTCTAATTTCAATGATTATTAGTGAATAATTCAGAGAATGTCTTTGAACCTAGTTTGCTATGTAACAAATGTTAAAGTGAATGATTATACAAAAGAGAAACAACTTATGAAAAACATAAAACAGTCTCACTTTTTTAAGTATATATTTAACTACTTTAAGTATACCATTTTTTATAAGAATGCCCTAAAAAGTTAAACAGCTTACAGTAGAAAAGTTTTCCACATTGAAATAACTTGGAAATATTGAGTATCACAACCATGTTTTCAAATATCAAATATATATAAAACAATCTGTTTAAACACTAGTATTTTCCTCTCTACAGTGGTTATGGAATATAGCTTTGAAAGCCATCTTAGCATTTTATATCAGACTACGGCATGCTGGCTCAAAGTTTGTATCTGATGAGAATAGAACACTTCTTTGTTTCTACAAGCTGTCTCATAAGCACATCCATAGTCCTAGCCACTGATTCCCTTCTGTAATGATAGGATATATGATAAACTGTTCCACAAAGCCTCAATATCTCAAGGACTCCTTAAAATTCAAAGATAAAGAAACAAGAGCACAGAGGTTACACTTATAACTTTATTTTCACAATGGTGAAACATAGCCCAAAAGTGCCAAGATGTAAAATTAAAACGTGTATTGGAAATAATGAACTGTAGAACTACATTGTTTTTTATTTGAATCTATTTAGTGTTAGAGATTAGGTACTAAAATAGTAAAGAATATCCACATTTTAAGATGTAAAATTTATCCAGGCCTGGTGGCATTTGCCTGCAAATCCAGCACTTGGGAGCTGGAAGCACTGATAGTAGCACACTAAGAGCTACATATGAGACTGGAGGCTGGCAGCACAGTCATGGGTTCAACCTTTAGCACTGTCAATAAATAAATACATTTAAAATGAAAACAGTGGAGGAAGCAAAACAATTCCAACAGACAAGATTAAGTTACAATTCCTAATACAAAGCATGGCCTTTGCAAGTAAACACAGCATGTTTATTTTCCAATTTTTTCACATAATGTAACTTAACATGGTGACATAATACTAGCTTAACTTCTGAAGATCTAATTGTATTCACCATCTTGACTGCTTCTAAGTTTATTTTGGATTTTCTATACATATAATAATTGTGTCACCCATATACAAACAGTTTTATTTCCTCCTTTAGAATCTTTATAATGGTTTATTTCATTTTACTACTTTACTGTATTGGTTATGCCCTACAGAAAAATCTGCAAGTGTTTACAGTGGACATCTCTGTCTCATTTCCTGAACTTGACAGATGGGAGACATTCAATATGTTTCACCATTAAGTTCAATGTTAATTCTGGTGGGTAGGGATGCAAACATTCTTTATCAATGTAGAGAATCTGCCTATTCCTATTTTGTAGATTGTTAAATATTTCACCAAATGTTTTTCTACCAAGTTATTCATGTGAGGTTTTTCTTCTCCCTTCCAATACTAATGTGGTTAGTTAAATAGATTGCTTGATGCTAAATCATCTTGAGTTTCTAGACTAAATCTTTTCTAGCCACGATGTATTATGCATTTGACATACACTGGAAATTACTAATATTTTATTTGGAATATCTGTGTTTATGTTCATAACTGGTGTTAGTCTATAATTTTCCTTTCTTATGATATCCTTTGTCAAGTTTTGGTAGCAAATATAAACCCAGAAGATGGGTTAAGAGGTCTATCATGTGGTAAGCTTTCATTAATATCTCCTATAACCAAGACATGTCAATTCTCTAAAGAGGTTACACTTCACTAACACATTTTCTTTCTTTTTCATTTAGATTTATTTTATATGTATTTGCGTTTTGCCAGTATGTTACATATATGCATTATGTGTGTGTCTGGGGTCCAAGGAGTTCAAAAGAGGGCACTAGATCCCCTAAACCTCTGAAGTTACAAGGGTTCTGGGAAACGAGCCTGGGTCCTCTACAAGACCAACAAGTACTCTCAACTGCTGAGCCGTTTATCTAGTTCTCACATCTCTGTCTCTTACATACAACATTATCACCCATACTAGTACTAGGTCGTGGAAAAACCAAACATTTTCTTGCTAAGGATGGGAGGGAAAGACTATTCTGCAAAAAAAAACAAAATTATTTACTATTTAGGATTACTATGAAGTCATCTAAGCTTCATTTTTAAAATGTTCAAACTGAAATTTAATATAAAAGAATGTAAACATGTTAAAGAAAGAAGTTCTAGCAGGTATTTAAAGCAGAAAAGAGAAACTCGGTTAACTTTAAAAGTATCTGAGGTACTATATATACAGGAAAATTAATATGCTTAATGTTTTTGATTAAGTATGCATCTATTCAATAAAGTGGAATGTTTATTTACAATATTACTTAACAGCATAGATATGCATTCTACAGCACTGGCCAGTGGAGATCTGTGAGAAGAACAAGATTTAAAGGTTCATTTATAAAGTATTCTGAAGATTCTTCTCAACAATATTAGGTACTTTTTAAATGCTTAATTTAATCAACAGTAAAAAATTACAACTGCCATAAATACATTGTGTGTATATGGATGTGTATGTGTGTATCTCTTGTATATGGCTAAACTGAATACTTGCAATGCCTCACATTTTGGTTGTGAGAACACTTAACATCATGGCTATTCACTGAAGTTATCATGTTGTACTTATGTTCTGAAATTATTTTACAACCTTCAACTATTATCTTCATAATTTCCTCACCCTGGAGCCCTACTAACATTACTCTGCTCCATGAATTCAACTTTTTAATTTTCCATATATGATAAAGGAATTAATGACCTTACAGAGAAACATTTTAAACAAAGAAAAACTATTTGCAATCCATAATCAATCTTGCTACAAACTCTAGCTCCCAGAAAGTGCAGCCAATCTTTTAAATAAGTCAAATTTTCCGGTAATAAAAAATAATCCAAGAAGTCGGGAGGTGGTGATGCATACCTCTAATCCCAGCACTCGGGAGGCAGAGGCAGGCGGATCTCTGTGAGTTTGAGGCCAGCCCGATATACAAAAGCTAGTTCCGCTCCAAAACTATAGAGAAATCCTGTCTCAAAAAAACCAGGGAAAAAAATCTTCGGAGGACAATGTACTAAAAATGAAAATAACAAATAACGGGAGAGAAAAGCTTCGTTTATTCTACCAATCTTTGGATTTATATTAGCAAAACTCTACATCAAATCAAAATTTAAGAGAACTTGCTCAATGTCATTTCCAATGGCTAAATGAAAAACTAAAGTGTCTATATGAAATGTAGCTCAGTTATACCACACAATCTCCAATTTTAAAAAATCCCAAATACGGGCTGGAGAGATGGCTCAGCGGTTAAGAGCATTGCCTGCTCTTCCAAAGGTCCTGAGTTCAATTCCCAGCAACCACATGGTGGCTCACAACCATCTGTAATGAGGTCTGGTGCCTTCTACTGGCCTGTAGGCATACACACAGATAGAATATTATATACAAAATAAATAAATGAATAAATAAATATTTTTAAAAAATTCCAAATACAAATGTTAACTTTCATTATAAAAACAGGATAATATATACCTCGGAGTAAAAAAATACATTAAGTCGGGCAGTGGTGGTTCATGCCTTTAATCCCAGCCAGCACTCAGGAGAAAAAGGCAGGTGGATCTCTGAGTTTGAGGCCAGCCAGGACTACAGAGTGAGTTCCAGGACAGCCAGAACTACAGAGAAACCCTGTCTTAAAAATATCCAAAATAATAATAAAAAAACATTTTTTTAGTTCAAAAATGAACATTCTATGATAAGTTTAATATCTAAGACTGGCATATTAGACACCAGGACAGGACATTTGATTGGCAAGGTAAATGCACGCCAGGAGAAGCACTACAAAGAAGCTAAAACTAGACCAGGATAGAACAAAAACAAAAGAGAAGAGTGAGCTAGAAAAGAAACTGGAGGAGAACAAGACTGAAACCTTGGGTTGAAGGACACAGACAGTACAGTTATTCCTATGTAGATAACATCGATTGCACAGCAAGAGTGAGACAACCTACCAAGGGCAGAGGTCAGAGGGCAGAGGTGTCTATGAACTGTTTATGAAACAAACTAACTGTAGCCAATAAATTCCCATTTTCTATAATAGACACCGGAATGGTATTGACACATTGGCAACAAAGTAAAATTTAAAGAGGAGAATGGCAAGACACCTGCTAATAGGTACCCAAAAGCCAGGAAACTTAAGTAGAGAAAAAGTGGTAGACTATAAATACAAGCATCGTGCCCATGAGGTTTTAAGACAACCACTTCTAGAGGTGAGGACTAGAAATTAAAATTAACTTCTATATGGAAAATAATTCATTTTAGGCACTGAGATGCCCAAGAGGAAGGCCTGATGCAAACTGAGTTTAAAATTTCTAGAAATGTCAAAGACTACAAAGATAAATAATAATAATTTAAAAAAAAACAGTACTCTAAAGAACAAATGGAGGGCAGTTCAGGAGATGCTTGATTCATTTTCATCATGAATTTCCACTGTAACCTTCAGACTAGAAAGAACATGGACTAAAAATCAGAGAAACACAAATCTTTTGGGGCTTGGTTATACTTGGTCTTTAGATCATTCAGTTCTAATATCCTATAGTTTCATGTATTTCGAACAAAACAATGTTATCAGGGAAGTCCCTAATACCGCAACATGAAAACAAAACACCCTATGTCTGTCTATTCAGAAGAGAGAACCATAAACAGCTGTAACAATCTGTATTTACCTTCTTTTTTAAAAAGTGTATTGTAGAGCCTTAAAGAGATAACTGTCAGCAATAACTTTAAACTGCCAAAAATAAAATAATTACATCATCCTTCCCATTTACAGACTACTTTTAAGTAAACAAAGACACATTACCATCACCAGCCTACCAATACGTTAAAAGACTGAGAAACGTTAAATGCACTGCCAATTATCATGCAGTTAGTAAACAGAGAGCTGGGGATCAAATTCTGATAATATTCCTAGCTCATGACCCTTTCTATTACACTACCAGAGTTTTGAAACTAAAAAGCATGTCTCTTTAGAAAATAAACATAAAAGACAAAGAATGGAGCACACAGAAATAAGAGAAGCAAGTATTACAATGTTGATGTAAAAAAGAAAGTAGCTAGGCTTTTCTTTTTCAGCAAATAGGAGTAAGAGCTACCAATACTATTAAGAAGCAGGAGTTTGGAGCCATGAAAAAAAAATTAAAAATGAAGATGCCACCTGGAAAACATTTATGAAGCCAAGACAAACACATCATGCTATTCTTACCTTTTCAGTTGCTGAAACAGATGGCTTTGATACAAAACCCAACCTGTCCTTCACAGATAACTTAGTTACATTCTAAAAAGATTAAAACGGACATATTCAGTGTTTCCCCAAACATATATTAAGTCTGTTGGGATTTTGAACATGCTGATTCTACTATATATACTGAGTTTGTGCATAACAATACTAGCCACAGAAACTTGGGCCTTTAAAAAAATGGGAGAGAAACAAGGAGAAAGAAGAGAAGGGAAAAGAATAAGAAGATAAAAAGGAAACAGATGTTGAAAAACAAAAAATCCTTAATATTAACCATAAAAAAATTACAATGTAAAAATCTGTCCAAGTAGTTGGTTCCTAATGTCCCTTCCTGGAATTGTACATTAATAAGTCTGCACATTTAAAAATAGATGTGAACATTTAAAGTATAAACCTGCTTCATAAGCTTAAAAACAAGTCATTTATTCCTAAAATATGCTTATATTTAAATACACTATAATTAGTGATTACTTACATGAAATTTAAAAGTAACTGCTTATCAATTTGCATTCTGAACCTTCATATAGAATGTTATTACCTTACTCTATGCATCAGGAATTATCAAAAAGAGCATCTACCATGGCATCTATTAGCTAAGTAGGATACTACATCCTAACCCAATTATGTACAGCAAGTCTTAAAACATCTAGAGAAAAAGAAAAGCTAAATTTCTGAGACCGAGAGTGTAGAGACAAAAAACTGTCGTTCAAGTACAGAATTTGGAAAGCAACAACATATATAAAGAGAATCCAGGCAGTAGTAAGTGGTGCAAAGTTCTAAGCAGGGCAAGTGAGTTCCTAAAACAATGTATCATCATCCATCAAGCACATGTAGACTGATGGTGTAACTCTTCCTTTCTCAAATGTTTTCTGTTCACCCTACTGCATAATTATCAGGAGATAAAACACTAAGCAAAAGGACAATAGAAAAAATAATATTTAGTATACTGAAACTCCACAAAGTGAAAAAGAGACCTTTCTCCTAAGTATTCTCTAGCAGAAGACAATGCAAATGTTACAGTAAAACTAACTTACAGGAGAAGTTCAAAGACATAAATACCATATTTCTGTGTAGAACATACATCATCAAAATTCTAGTTACCAAGGAAAATGAATGGAAAATGAATAAGAACCTATTTGACAGACCTCTTGATAAAACCTTCTATTTACCTGGGGAAGGTCTGAAGTAGCACTCTGGGCTTCTGCTGGTTCAACAGTAACTGATGGTACAGGACCCAACCGCTCTTTGACAGATTGTTTCACAACAGGTAAAATGGGCTGCTGAACTAACGGCTGTATTACCTCGGAACAAGTGGAAAGATTACAAACAAGCTAGTTAGTAAAGGAAGATAAAAATCCAACCAGGGTGATTTTGTACTCATTACCCATATAAAGAATGTTTAAATGTAGCTTATAATCAAACTCAACTATCTTTCAATTCTTTTCAGTGTATAAATCTTCTTTGTAAGAAATGAATTATAAAAGTACAGAAAAATAATTAAATCATCATTGTTTGCTTTAACAATGAGATACCAGACTATTCTATAACCCCTAAAAAAGAGAAAGAGAAAGGGAGAAAAGTGAAAGGAAGAAAAAGAATTCCAAAGATATTGTGTAGTATGAACTTAAAAGATATATAGTCATCTCTTAATGAGTGATTACGTCCCAGCAAATGTTCCAGATGCTTTACAGATACCATATTATAATTCTCTAAACTAGGATTAACCTCACAAGCTAATGAAAGAATAGTCTGGATAAGTAACTTTGTCAAGTCTCTATAGTAGGAAAGCCAGGCACCTCATAGCTCAAAAGCCTGTTTAAGAACTGTTAAAAGTCCCCAAGAAACAAGAAGACTTCACACAAATTTCTCTTACCTTTGGTGAAGTGGTCTGTAACTGCTGAGTAGTTCCTTCTCTGTGCCAATAAACCTTAATAAAGCGGTTATTTAATACTGCTTCTGTACTTGAGATTGCTTTCTTTGCCTCTTCATATGTTGCAAATTGGATAAGGGCACCTTCAGGATCACCATTATAGGCAACCTAAGATTTAACATATTGAGGACAGTTTACTTCTAAAGGAATACACAGCTCTAGACAATTTCTCAAGATGTAAAATGCTGGTCCTTCCAAGTAAGTAAGGAGCTTATCATCACAGTTCCTTAGACCTATTCTATCAATACAACGTGTCAACGCAGAGTTATTTCTAAAGAGCAAGAGGAAGTTCTTTGCTTATTTACTTATTTGTTTATGGCAGTAAGAGAAAAATTTATTTGGGGGCCAGATCCAAGTGACCATGGCCTGGGTAATCATTTAGATTTCAATGTGGAAGCAGTTTCATGACATTTTTTAGTTTCCCAGAAAAAGACAGGTCAAAACAAGCCATTAGTGCCAGCAGTGCTGGTAAGTGGTGAGAATCTTTGAAGAAGTGAGGCTAGTAGTAGTTTATCAGATCATTTAAAGGGGCTGTCCTTACAAGCTATGCTGGATAGTTTTATGTCAGCTTCACACACACTAAAAGTCATTTCAGAGGAAGGAACCTCAATCAAGAAAAATGCCTCCATAGGCCATGCACAAGTCTGTGGGGCATTTTCTTTACAAGTGACTGATGTGGAAGGGCCTAGTCCACTGCGAGTAAGGGACCTCCCTGGGCTGGTGGTCCTAGCTTTTGTAAGAAAGCAGGCTGAGCAAGCCAGTAACCTGTACTTCCCCATGGCCTCTGCAACTGTTCCTGCCTACAGGTTCCTGCCAGGCTTGAGTTCTTATCCTGATCTCCTTTGATGATGAAGGTTGATAAGGAAGCATATGGTGAATAAACTGTTTCCTTTCCAAATTGCTTTGGTCATTGTGTTTCATCACAGCAACAGTAATCCTAATTAAGCCACAAGATCTCAGGGATCCCTGGGCTCTCACAAGACAAAGGTGTATGGGAGTGAGTCTGACCACTGAATCCCCCTAGCCCAACCATCTCTCATCAGAGACCAAACTAACAGCATTACTTCATCTTACAAAATATCTCTTTCCTTTATTAAATGAGCCCTCTTCAGGTATTTCATTCTAGTAACAGGTAAGATAATCTGAACAAATTTTCTAAATCTCTATAAATAAAGTTTTCTTAAGTTCTTTAAATAATTACTGACAATAGTATCATTCCACACCTCTTACCTGTAAGTTAACCAATGTTCCAAATCTACTAAAATGTTCATTAAGTTTGCTGATATTATTTAATTCCGGAGGAACTTTCCTAAGTTCAAGTTTAGTATTTTCATTTCCAAACTGAACCTTCTTCTGGAAACCTGGGCTGTTTGTCCTATTAAAATTAGGTCTGTAAACAAAAATCAAGTCGATCAATATATTTATAAATGCTGACTCCAACTACTACAAAGAAAGAAGTTTTACAAGTAAAATGGATATTCTTAATTTAATCAATTTTTCTCCAAAACTAGAGGTACTAGTTGATAAGGAAATTTTAAGTTTTCTTTCAACAAGTTTCCAAATTTGTAACATTACTATCTTCTATGGACACCATATCCCTCTTTACTTACACTTTTCATCTTCTGCTAACTATTTTTATCAAAAAGGTACTACTATTACATTTAGTCAAAATGTACACACAAATCTTTTTCTATTCTGCAAGTTAGCTTACCGAAAAGCATTTCATTTTAGGAACTCTTTACTTTTTGATTTAAAGATGACACCTCAACCTGTCTCCAGTTTAAGAAACAAAATTATCGGAAATATACATGATACTTTGGCACATAAATAAAATAATATCTGTGATATATGAAGCTACCTTTTCCCTTAAATAGCAAAATCAGACATAAAAACTATTGAACTATTAGGTGTGGCCCTAATCTCCCTTTATGTGTGAAATTGTTTAAATGCAATGTCAAACTGACTTTCTTCCTTTCTTCAAAGTTCTTCCTGATCTTTCAGTGCCTCTTCAGCCTCTCCGCCGCCCCCCACCCCCAAAGCCCTTTATCAGTTCCTAAGAGGAAGTGTCTACATGCTGCAGTCTCCACCCAGACCGTCTACATTCTTCTCCATGCCACTGGGCTCCTAACTATCCTGTGCACAGCTTCTACTCAATAATACAGCTAACATGTAGAAGGGGTCGCTTCTTTCTGAGGTGGAAGAAGAAAGCGTAAAATTGTGTTCTCCACTATTTTCTAAGAAAATAGCTTTGTACTGTCAAACCAATTTGTATAAATTTCTAGAAAACAAAAATTGTAGCTGAGGACAGCCTACATATCAGTATTTTTTAAGAGAAAAGATTACATAGTCATAATAATACAGTAGTAATCAATGTAAAACAAAATTTATTAATATAATTAATTCTAATTTAAATAATAAGTTTAATATTTAATTACTTATCAAACCACGTCTTCTTTGTAGAAACTCCAGGTTCTCCAGACCCAATGGTTCTTTTCCTTGATTCTGAATCCACTACTATCCTCATACTGCTTTTATTAGGAGGCTTTTCTGTGTCAAAACAAAAGTAGACATTAATATTTTAGTGTTTATCTCAGCTACTTCTCCAATGAAAGAGTTCATTTCTCTCCAAATGAATATATTTTATAATCAAAAGGGTCAATATACATTCAAGTACATTATTTCAAGAGAATTTTAGTCTCCTCGGAAATTTTAAAATTTCAGATGCAGTTTTTTAAATTCACACTTAGCTCTAAGACTCAATAAAGTTCACATGACAAATATGATTCTATAGGCTACTTTTTTAAAGGCAAAATCCACGCCACTCCTCCAATTTGCATCTTTTATCATAAACCAAAACATATAGAAATAAGTCATTTGAGACTTTAAATTCATAGTTTTGAAATCAAAGGCACAATTATAAGCTCAAACACATCAAACTGCCTTTGCAAACTAGCAAGTTGCAATTATACTGCTTAAATAGCAACATTAACATAATTGAAAATATATTTTAAAAGAAATATTCAAGACTGAATATAGCGCTAGAGAATTATAAACATCTATTAACCAATATTTTACAAACATTCTGCTAAAGCAATCTTACAAGCTTGTCTTTTAACATAGCTTGTTGTCTATCCTGGGCTTCTAAATTCCCGATTTCTCTAGCTGTCTATCTAAACATAAAGACAGAGCCTCCAATCTATGTCTCGGAGCCCCGCTGCTTGCTTCCATTTTCTAACTCTCCTATGACACTGGAACATCAGCAGCACCTGATATTACAGTTCATATTCCTCCATATTTAAAAAGGGGCTTCTCCTTTTACTCCTCTAGTTTATCTCTACATATCCTACATCTAGTCCCTAAGAGATATTTACATTTGACTATCTCTTCTTCCTTACCACACCCAATCAGTCACTAGTCCTCTGGAAATTGGTAGCTGTTCACATTACTAGACTTATCTTGTTCATGGAAGAAAAATAAATAACTGATGTCACAATTTGATACTTAGGAGTATGAATATTCAGTCTTTTCCCAGTTGTGTATGTGTACTTTGCCTGAACACTACACGGTGTATATGCCTGGTGACTGCAGAGATGGATGGGTCAGGCGTGAGTCACCATGTGGATGCTGGGACTGGAATCAAACCCTGGTCTTCCAAAAGAGCAGTAAGTGCTTTTAACATCTTAACCACTTGTCCAGTCCTACTTCTCAGTTTTTAACTGGCCTCCAAGAGACATTTGCTGCTGCTGATTACCTCCCCTCTTAGGTATCACCAGTTCTGGATTTTCAGGAATCCCTTTTGTTTGTGGCCTTTTGTTTCCAGTCCCTAGTAAGCCTGGCTCCCTCATCTCATTTCATTATCTCCCTAGTGTCCTTCTTTTATCTACTATCATTCATCTTTCCCGGTGTTTCTCAGGTGTTTCTCAGGAGTTCCGGTGTGTGGAGAGCGGGGCAGAAATATGGGGGAAGGGTGTGAAAATAAACAGAAAAGACTCTTTGTTCCATGTGAGTCAACCATGCAAGACTCAGTGTGGTTTGTTCTATTATTCTTTACCTCCATATTTATGATTCCAAAGTAATTTCCAGTCAGCTGTCTTCAGGAAGCTGAGACTTAAGTATTTCTAATCAGATGACTAGGCATAATAACTAAACAGTAACAAAATTTATTTCTCTACCAATTCATTCTTTTTGTAGCAAATGTTATTATCACTTCCTAATTATCAAAAGAAAAACTGGTATTTGATTTCAGCCTTTACATTACTCTTCCAATCACATTTAGTAAATCATGCTGTCAAAATCTCAGTTCCCACGACTGCTAACCTAGACCAGTTCTATCACCTATTTTAAAATTCTTCAAATGTCTTCACTGTCCTGTAAACTTCCACACCTCCTTCCTTTTTGAGACAAAGTTGAGTTTCTTAGAAGTGTAAACTGTATATGCTTTAAACTGTTCCCTTTCTCTCGCTGACCAACTTATCAGTGTATTGTATGAATTGTTGGTACAAATGTCATGTCATATTGATCTCAGTGGGAAAAGATGGCATTGGAGTTAGTGGTGATCAAAGTGCAAGTTGTGGTTTCTGTGGGTAGGAATGCACTCACATGACCAGTTCTCCAAGAGGACTTAGTCCCTTAGTGTAGGCACTTAGCTCATTGGCTCGTTTGGAGAAGCTCTAAGCTATTCAATACCCTTTTCCACTAAAACAAACCCCAATTATCTGAAAACTCAGAAACACAGTAAAGTGTTTTCACCCAGTAACTGGCACATTGGCTACACCTCTATTTTCTTTCAGATTCACTTTCACTAAGGTTTACTTGAAAATAAGCATTAAAAACAAAGAAATAAGTATTTCATGATATGCAATTAGCAAATGCATCTAGTCATCTATATATAATATTTCCAAACAATATTATCAGTTCTATAGTATTTCTGGTTAAAACTAACAGCACCAGATAGTTGCCTTAAGCTATTAAATTCTTCCTGCCTATATCTACCTGTGGGAACATCTATCCAGTTCTTGTCCTTAGAAATATAAAAATAATTTCAAGGACAAAGAAGTCATTTTTATATTAGAATTCCATAGCATAAAAAGTGCCCATGATGTTTTATTTAATGATTACCTCATATCAAGATTTAAAGTATGAAACCTAAGTCAAATTATCAAATAATACCCCCCATGACAAACTAATGCCATGGTTCAGGCTACCAGAAATGCATAGTAATTAAGTAATTCATATCACTACAAGCTTTTCACACAACTGTCACAATCCAGAACAAGAAATTTGAAATCTAAAATGGGGATTGAAAAGAACATATTGGGATGAAAAGAAAGGACTGAAAAAAAAGACATGAAATTCATATAAACAATCCTCAATTTAAACAGTTTGCTAAATCAGTTGACAAATTAAAAGTAAAAAATGCATTTCTAAATTATCACACAAAAAACATGATGTATCTAACTAGTATTAAAATAATCATTACACAATTATGACTATGAGAAAAGGCAGTGTACATTCATCTCTCAATAAGAGCACTTCATGTATCCTGCAACATTATTCAAAGAGCTGAAATTACCATAATGCCAATGGCTATGTCATAAAATTTACATGCAAAGGATTTGATTTCTCTTCCTTCTCTCAATCAAAACTAAAAATCGGTCTGGCACTGAACAGGGTTTAAAATATTATTACCCAGCAGCAGCATACATTTATGCCAAACAAAAGAAGCAAAACATGAGTGAAGTAGTAGTTACCAGTAACAGCAAAGACTATTGATATGACTTTTAATGAAAATATAGGGCTGGACAAAGAGCTCAGCAGTTAAAAGGGAGTACTACTCTTTCAGATGACCTGAGTTCAGTACCCAGCACCCACATCAGGCAGTTCATAACACCAGAGGAAATAACACCCTCTGCTGGACTGCTTGGGCACCTACATTCACATACAAACCCACAGACAAAAATACATAATTAAAAATTATTGTTTTTCTTTCTAAGTGCTAAACTGACCCAAGGAAAGAAAGAAGACTCCTGTATACTAACCAGGGTGGGAGAGAAATTCAGAGGATAAGTAAACATTATTAACAACTATAATCTGAAGGGTCTACTTTCCCATTATATGCAATGTATATGTCTCATTTATAGAAGCAACTAAAAAAAGAAAACTTGCTTTCCTGCTATCACTGATGATTAATTATTGAATGGTGTACTGGAGAGAAACATGCACATAAAGGTTCTCAAAGAGGGCAAATATGAACAGATGCTGTGATACTTCAGAGGGTATACATTTGAGTTAGATTGTTATTCATATCCTGCCACACATGCCTTTCAAATAGACAAAGTAGATATTCAGAATCTGACAAATTCCAATAAATAATAAAAACCTCAAATTATAAGCAATCCTAAATTTATTACTCCACATAAGTACTATTATTTAAGTTGGGCATTTATACGCAACTGAAAAGTCTTAATACTTTTACTCTACATAAGCCAGAAAGAAAAAAAACTGGAATGCAAATTTCAAATGATATGATTAAGATAAAATGCCTCTTTCTGCCACCATAATATTTTGTCTAACAATCTTCCATCTCCTTTATCATGTTATCTCTAAGTGCTATACTGTTTCCCACTGACCACTGTCGCAGCTTGACGCTAGTAAAGAAGTTTTGTGGCCTGGCTCAGGCTAAACACTAGTTTTTAATAATTTACTGTCTCTCCTAGAATTTGAAAGATGAATTGACTGCTAGCCCATATTTCCTTTTGCTAAAGTATCAAATTTTAACATGTCAAGTATACAAAAAAATCTGCATATGGAGTGCAAGTTTTAGATAATTCCATTATCTAAACTAGGACAGACGTCAAGACAAAGAATTCTATCTTACTCTCATCAATGTTCTCAATGCTGCGACTCTTTAATACGGTTCCTCATGTTATGATGACCTCAACAACCATAAAATTATTATTATTATTATTATTATTATTATTATTATTATTTTTTGGTTTTTCGAGACAGGGTTTCTCTGTGGTTTTGGAGCCTGTCCTGGAACTAGCTCTTGTAGACCAGGCTGGTCTCGAACTCACAGAGATCCGCCTGTCTCTGCCTCCCGAGTGCTGGGATTAAAGGCTTGCGCCACCAACGCCCGGCAACCATAAAATTATTTAATTGCAACTTCATAGCTGTAATTTTGCTACTGTTATAAGTTGTCATGTAAATACTTTTGGAGATATAGGTTTGTCCAAGGGTCACAATCCACAGGTTGAAACTCTCTGGTTTAAGTGAATCAGAAAGACCACACATGAAACAAAACAATAAGTTTCCTAAGACATAACGTACTTTGGGGGAATTTCATAAATATGGAACTCATGACAGACCAGAAAACCAAGTGAGCAAACCACCACCATCCCTTCCTTAAGCTTTCCTCCTTTCTCTGTCAGTTGTTTGTTTTGTTAGAGATCAACACAGGGGACCCTGTGCTTGATAAGCAAGCTTCCTGCTACTAAGCTAAACCCCATCCTGCTGTTCCATCATTAATGCTGTGAAATAAGAAAAGATTGATCATAATACCTCTGGGTGGCAAATCCATATCCCCTGATGTTAGTCCTATCAAGTTAGGCCTTTGCGCATGCACTCTGTGTCTATACATAGGTCTGGAAGTGTTTGTTATGCTTGGTGCTTCAGGATTGTAGCCATCTGTATCATATGTATCTGGTAACACAAAAACTGTAATTAAACAACAATTATAAAAAAAACATTTGGTAACTTTCAAACAGTGATAATAGAAAAAACAAAAAGCATAACTTATAATTAGTTAAAAAACATAAAACTAATGTGTTTGAAATATATGACAGAGTTGTATTAAAAAAGTTACTAATAGAAGTCCTCCAAAAGATCTTAATTGAGTGATTTAATATTAATTCATCAAGTCCACTTCACACTGTATAATTTTAGTGAGAAATTTCTTCCCATATTTTTAACTGACTAGGTAGTTTTAAAGCAGAGCTTTACATTACGAATTTAGAGGGGACCAAAACTGCACCTGCAGTAAAGAGAGAGGGCGGAGCAGGAGGCGGCTGGTGATGAATGCCGGTTGTTACTACAGTGGGGACAGAGCTGGTTGCAGAGTTGGGTGGAGCATCCATGCCAGATGGCTGTAAAGGAGGGAGTGGAGGAGGTGGTCCTGTCAAAACCAAAGAATAAGAAATATCATCTGAAAGCAAACAAATAAAATAAATTATTATACATTCAAACCTAAAATGCTCTTTTATCAACTAAAATGTTTTCTATAAAGAATAAGCTCCTACAAGTAAGTTAACTTTTTTACAGTAAATATTCTTTTTAATTTATTCCAAAAGTTTGCTGTAAACTATAAAGACCTACAAGCAAGGGAACATTATCCTAATGTATGCAAGCCACAGGCTGTTACAAATCACAGTAAGTAGTTTATAGGAAAGGTGACTTGTGCATGGTATCCAAGTGGGGGGAGAATACTTCGTTTCTACCAGGTTTACTTTAGAAATTATTAACAAAAACAAGTATGAAATTACTAATTTCATAAAAGACTATAAGTAAGCAATAAATACTAGGAAACAACTTAATCTACTGACCTGTGACAGGTGGCAGACTGGGTGGTAATGGACCTGGTGGTGGCACTGGGGGTCTGAGATTCACAGGTGGGGGTGTAAGAATTGGAGGAGGTGGAGGCAGTCCAGGAGGAGGTGGTCCTTCAACAACAGGTGGCTGCGCTGGAAAAGGCAGCATCCCAGGCAGGTTCACATCTTCTACCACTACTGGATCACTTCCATGATCAAAAGGACACATGTCTCCTCTCATACAAAACCCCTTTTCTGTAAGTAAAGGATTATTAAAAATAAATGTGAAAAGCTCTGGAAATACAAATTATCTCTGAGTTACCAAACAGCAAATAAGAGTATTTTTAGTATTGGGCAAAATTATAATTTACACTTGCACAAGAGCTCTATTCATTCCTAGTAATATAAGCAATTATCAACTAATAATATGCCTAACATACAAAATGAAAAAGAAAATTTAAATAAGCATAATACATAATATAAACTTACATGCAACTTCCTATTTATCATTAGATAACACACTTAATACTTAAGTCTCTCATTTTACACCAAAAACATATTGCAACTCTGCTTTCAATACTAAACATAATCTTTCATATTAAATCCATACGTCTGATTCTTTTGAAAAATCTTACATAGGATGTGTTTACTTCATAGGTCCTACATATACTTCAATAATCACTGATGTCATAAAAATGATTTCATCAAAAATGTTCAAGTGAGCAGATTCCTCGAAAGGAATGGTACTTACTTGAGTTAATGGTAACTCAAATGGTATTTACTCTTTTTTGGTAACTCCAACATTATAAACACAATCTAAAGTGTTAATAGCAGTGACCTAATGGGAAATGACATTATGGAATTCATAAAGTGATAAAAAGCTAATCTGTCCTTTCTAATACTATAAACTCCTTTTGAATTATTATACAATCTAAACAAATAAAATATATAAACACAAAATAAATTAGACAAAAATAGAAAAAAATCCACTCGGGTGACTTACCATCATAATCTCTACACCGTTTCTTTGGCATTGGTGGCCTCACATAAGAGTTGTGATCTACCTGGTCTTCATGAAATTCAGACCAGCTTTCGGTGGTGTTATTACCATGATGAGTGGGAGCAATCACAGTAATGGTGCTGCTCAAAGTAGGCACAGGATAGTGGCCAGATGAAATATTAGATACTGAAGAGACTGGTGTATAATTATTTTCTAATGGATCTGTTCTGTCCAGGTCATATTTAGGTTTCACCAGATCCCTTTCTGAAATAAAACATAAATAACTTGCAAAACTATATTTAAAAAAAAAATACAGATCTTAAAAAAAGTGTCAGTTTTTGCTAAATACATAGAACAGTTCAAACTTTCACAGATGTTCTCCTTTATAAGTTACTTAATAACTCGCTGATCAAAGTGTAGACATGAGGGACTGTCCTACACAGCTCAGTCCTACACAGACAGCTAGGTCCCAGCCTTTCCCAAATATCTGAGGAGGAGACAGAAAGGTTGTAGAGACACAGTTCAGAAGACCAGTGTAAAACAGTGTCTCCTGGATTCTGCATTCATGAACACACAGCCGATATGGCTGCCTGCAGATCACACTGACTCCAGCATAGAGAGAAGAGACTCAGGAGGCCCCACTCTTAGCTCAGGAGCTATCAGCTGCTGCTGGCTGCAGGGACAGGAGTCAGTATACTTCAGTAGCACAGCCTACGGTAAGCTGGCTGTGCTACAGTGCATGGTAATCTAGACTCATGCACATCTTGGCAGCACTAATTTGATTTGATGCAATATTTAAACTATTAAAAAAAAACCTCAAATTGGAAAAGTGAGGGGAATAGATCTGGGTGGATTTGGGAGTATAATAGTAACAATATGTTGTATGGAGCAGCGGAGCTGCGTCCCGCCACACGGCTAGCTTTACACCCGAAATAACAACACACAAATTGTATTCTTTTAAACACTGCTTGGCCCATTAGTTTTAGCCTCTTACTGGATAACTCTCACATCTTGCTTTAACCCATTTTTAATAATGTGTGTAGCACCACAAGGTGGCTTATTAGGGAAGATCTTAACCTGCGTCTGTGTCGGGTGGGAGAATCATGGCGACTGCCTGACTCGGCTTCTTTCTCCCAGAATTCTGTTCTGTCTACTCCACTTATCTAAGCTGCTGTCCTATCAAAGGCCAAGCAGGTTCTTTATTATTTATCTAGGTGGATTTGGGAGTATAATAGTAACAATATATTGTATTCACATATAAAATAACCAAGAAATATTTTAGACTTTAAAAATAAAGCTGTCCAATAAATACACATTGTGCCAAGCTCAGTCAATATACACGAAATAAAAGTCTTTAGTAGAAAAATTTAAAGAGTATTCGCAAGCCAGACTTGGTGGCACACACCTTTACTCCCAGCTCCTAGGAGGCAGAGGTAGGTGGACCTCTGTGAATTCAAAATGTTCTATCGATAGTGTGGTTCATGATGGCCAGAACTACATAGTTAGGCATTATCTTGAATGAAAACAATAAATAAATATGTAACTTTTTTTAGGAAAACATTCCTAGAAGCCAACCATGGAGATGCATGCCTTTTATCCCATTACAAGCATGCAGATCTCTGGGTGTTTAAGGACAGCCCGGTGTACATAACCAGTTCTAAGCCAGTCAGGGCTATGCAGTGAGAACTTGTATTCAAAAGAAAAGAAAAAGAGAAGGCATTCTCAAAAACCATAATAGGAGACTGAACAGAGGAGGTGCATGCCTTTAATCCCAGAACTTGGGAGGCAGAGGCAGGCAAATAGGAAAGATAAAAGACAACACACTGAGCAGCATGGAAGGATTTTCAAAGTGAAGAACTATAACCAAACCACAAACACATGGATTACTAACCCCGGCTTCGTGTCCGGCTTCTGCTCCTCGTCCTGCTTCTATCTCTATCCCGGTCACGAAGCCTCTCTTTACTCCAACTTCGGCTGCGACTCCTGCTGTAACTGCGACTTCTCCCTCGCCTTCTGTTATACCGGTCTCTATATGAATCTCTTCGAGGAGGATTTCGATCATAATCTCTTTTGCGAGAACGATCGTCTTTTTTCCTCTCATCGCGGCTTCTAAAAAATGTATCATCACTTTTATGTGAACAATGCTGAAGTACATGTAAGGAGAAAGAAACCTTTCAAATATCTAAGTTGTGTCATTATCATAATACAAACAAGGGCAACTTCAAAAATTGAAAATTCTGAGATTGTTTATTCTAAAAGTTTTTAAAAAGAGAAATCAAGCCGGGCATTGGCGCACGCGTTTAATCCCAGCACTCGGGAGGCAGAAGCAGGCAGATCTCTGTGAGTTCGAGGCCAGCCTGGTCTACAAGAGCTAGTTCCAGGACAGGAACCAAAAGCTACGGAGAAACCCTGTCTCGAAAAATCCCCTCCCCAAAAAAAAAGAAAAAAAAAAAAGAAAAACCAAATCTCTTAATTCTTAGTCTTATGTACAATATCTATTCAATTATGTATCTACACAGAAGGCATCTACATGCGTCTTATATTACAAATAGTCTATACATACAATCACATTTACAAGTATCACTTATATAATACTCCAAACACTTTTGAAATCATAATAGGAAAAATAATTTAAACACACTAAAGGGAACCTTCAACCCCCAACCCCACTGTTGCCCAAAAGAGCCCCAAATAAAATCTCTCACTAAGAGCCACACTAGATCTGAAGTTAGGGAAAGCAACATCAATACCAACCAATATACAAAGCACTATTCCGAATCTCACGCTCAGCACATGGACCTAGATATTCTTGGTAGAAAAGGACCCAATTATACTTTCCTGAACCAATAAGAGAGCATGAGTGCTGAGAGTGATGATGGCACATGTCTGCAATACAATCCTAGCACTCAGGAGGCAGAGGCAGGATTGCCATGAGTTATATGCCACCTAACTAGCAAGATCCTAGATTAAAAAAAAAAAAAATCAAAAGAACAACGAAAATGTGCTTCCTTCAGCAAATCCTACAGGTCTGCGCCACCAGAACCGGCTGAGAACAACAAAAATGTAAATGCTACGTATCCCTATGTAAAATATAACCTAAATAATAAAAAATGAAAGCTAAACAAATCACCTGTTGTCTCTGTAGCGGGAGCTTGACTGGGGAGGACTATGATTCAGCCTTCTGGAAAACTTCTTCTCTCGTTCTTCCTCCTTTGTGAGCTAATATAAAAAAAAAAATGGACAACTTTACCAATAGCAATTCTTTGCCACATTATTATTTAAAAGACTTAATATTAAGCTTAATTTATGTACTAGAAATACAAAACTATTATCACAATTTCAAGCAAAATTAATTTCTCTACCAAATTTCTTTAATTTCTTTAACCTGTAACCTGTAATTGTCTAAAGTTAAACTGAATAATAGTCATAGACCCTTACTTTAGATAATAGTGGCAAAAAAAGAAATGTAAACAAAGTCTTCAATTCAACATTTGAAAGCCAATTACTTCAAAAGTCTGGCATACATCCATACTTCTGTTTCATGGACTCAGTCTGACATCATAGAACAGAGAAGACATTAGTACTAATCAAGTCATAAATAAAAAAGACTACATGAGACTATACAAAATGAAAGTTTATTTAGTATAATATACATATAATAATACAAAACAAAACTGTCATTTTAGAGCATCGTGTCAGCTCTAAAATGTATATATCACTGTTTCCTACAGGTTCTATTCATATTTTATAGTTATAAAGCTATCACAGGAATATGCCTTTAGTCATTACTACACTATCTGAATTATACTTCTCACAACACTATTCCGTAGGACATTAGTATGGGATTAGAATTTAAAAGTTAGACAAATCCAGGATATTGACAAGAGATTCTGTAAATATGCCAAGACTTTGAAACTTGTGTATTTTAAATAAGGACATAAAGAAATTCTGATGCAGACAATTTATTAATATACATATCCAAATTTATGCCAGCCTTCCCAGAAACCCTCTAGGATACACACACACACACACACACACACACAAACGTAAAGCCCACTGGTATAAAATGTATACCACATGAGTTAATTAATTAGAAACATATCAAAAGTCTAACTTGAAGAAATGCTTCTTTCAATAATTTGCTCCTCCATCGTTTTTATCTTCCTACCCACTACAAATTCTCTTGCCAATCCATAAAAAAACAAGTACTAACAAAATCCACCTGGGTAGTTTTATTTCAGACTTAGACTCACTATGTAGCCAAGGCTGGCCTGAACCTTTTTTTTTTTTTTTTTTTTGATTTTCGAGCCAGGGTTTCCCTGTAGTTTTTGGTGCCTGTCCTGGAACTAGCTCTTGTAAACCAGGCTGGCCTCGAACTCACAGAGATCCTCCTGCCTCTGCCTCCTGAGTGCTGGGATTAAAGGCTGCACCACCACCGCCTGGCTGGCCTGAAAGTTAAAAACATTTCTATCTCAACCTCCATTGCAGGTATAAGCCTAAAGATATCTAGGTCTCCTGGAGCACTTTCCCCCTTCTACTTGCCACAATGTATTCTTTCAAGCAAAACAAGTTACATTCCATCCTACAAACATACACAGCAATATAGTAACATATTTTACACACACAGCAACATCCCATAATATATGTGCAACCAGAAATATTTTAGTGTTCCCACACTATGTGGTATTTTGATAATTATGAAAGCTCATCTACAAAAACCTTCCACAACTAATCAATAAAAATATTAAAAATAACAACTTTGGCAACAGAGAGAATAATAAGCCTTTGCCATCATCATGCACTGGGACAAGGGTCCAGAGTTACTCAAGAGCTCTTGAGAATAAAATATAATTTAAAGCTAGATACAGCAACATGCACTTATAGACTGTCACTGCTGCTAGGTGTTGCTTCCTCTCACCCACACACGCGCTCTCCTTCCCATATGTATATGTGAATGTAAACATGGACATCTAAGTACATACACACAAAAGTAACTGCAAGTAATCCAAACTTCTACCAGCAGGCAAAGTTTAATCATTTTATGTTTCCATGCAGGCAAAGTGATGATCAGTAAAATGGTGGCCTCCTTACACTGTATCTACTATATTGTCAGGATTACAAAACAGTCACAAAAGTATATTATGATCCTCTCCTTCAGAAAACTGACTAAAATAGTGTGTGTGTGTGTGTGTGTATTCATATTCAGGTACAGAGATTAAAAATAGTTTTGAGAATTATTACATATTTATTATGTATCTACCATTATACAATAAGATGTGTTACTTATATAATCTTAGAATGGATTAGGAAGAAGGAAAAAAACCAAAAGCCACACCCACTTCTCCCATAGTACAAGAATCTTCCAACAGCAATGGACAGTACTATCAAGTTTACCAATTGCTATATATACATTATTTTACTTGTTCATCACTATAACCCTGCAACAATTCCATTTTACAGCTAAATAAAACAAAGCTTGGGAAATTACATTTTCAACATCATGCCAAATTTTTAGTAAGACTGGTATGTAGGGCCTACAGAGGTAGTACAGAGGATAAGGGCATATACTGCTCTTGTAGAAGACCTGAGTCTGCTTCCCAGCACCCATGTCAGACAACTCAGAGATACCCATAACTTCAGGACATCTGATCGTGGGCATTGGCACTCATGCCCACACAGACACACAAGCAAACATCACTAAAAATGAGATTTTTAAAAGGATAGGCTGGGGTCAAGTATGGTGACATACAACTGCAGCAGGAGGCAGAGCTAAGAGAATTATCAAAGAACTGGAAAACATCTTAGTATATACTTGGAGTTTCAGTCAAGCTAGGAATACATAGTCCCTGTTCCAACACTTTCTAAAGTAAAACTAACTGAATACAAAAAAGTAGAGTATGAATGCCAGATACTGCTTTCTCTGGCAAAACTGTCCTCGGTCATCTTGATTTTTACCAAATTGAGAAAATCTTAATTATTAAGGTTATTAAGCAAATGGAAACACAAATTATAAAATGTAATTTAAAACTTCCAAAAAATTTTAAGTATAAAGTAATTTCTATTACTTTGTGAAAGTTCCTCTTTGACTATGTTGAAAATATTCTGACTAAACATATGAAGGGCAGACAGTACATTTCCTGTTATCCTGATGAGTTTCACAGAACAACTATAGGATTCCATGACCAATAGAGTTCAAAGCAGACTTAGAATGCTAAGTTTTAAAAAGGCCTACATACATATAAGACTGGTTGATCTTCAGCTACCTTCTGAAATTTCCCCACCATTTCTTGATAAGGATGGCTCACTGTACTGTCTTTGCAAAAACACAATGGTTTATGCCAACACTTGCTTTTCTCTTGGGAGTCTGGAATTCTGTTACATGTTATATAGTAGGTGCCTACTCCAAATAAAAATTAAGCACTGCTGCTCTTCCAGAGGACTCAGGTTCAATTCCCAGCATCTACATGGTGGCTCACAACCATCTATAACTAACTCCAGTTCCGGGTGATCTGAGACCCTCTTTTGTCTTATATGTACACACGTCTTATAGGCACACACATGATACATAAACACCTAGGCAAGACATCCATAAACACAATGAGATAATTTTTTTTAAATTCAAAATATGTCTTGCTGCTATAACTAGTCTCGAGGGGAATTAAGCATATCCCATGTGACCCCAGTGAATCTTGATACTTGCACTAATTTTCCACCAGATTTCCTTGCAAACCATTTTTCTTTGGTAACTTTTAACTCTTTTGTATTAACTAAATCATTGTCATGATTACAACTAAATTCCTAGTTCATTAATTACTCCTAGAGAAGTCCCTAAACTTAGGAACAAGTATTTAGGACACACAATAGAAAAATACAGAAAACTTGACTAATTATTCCTTCAAAGAACTTAAGGAGCCAACACAATATAACGAATCTCACCTCTTCTTTTTTTATATCTTTTTCTTGGTGCTGAAGAAAATCTACCTTCAGGCTTCCTGACGATGGTTGCTCTGGAGGAGGTAGGTAACTCTTTGTATTCACAGCATCAAAAAGCTTCTCCACAAATATCTGTGTCTCTAAAAATAAAACCAAAAAGTTCATGGAATAAAATATATTCAGTAAGACTTTAATGGGTTCTACACAGCAAGTTCCTTAACACCCTGATCAATAGCTTGTCAAGCAGTGTATAATGGAACAAGTTCCATGACAACAATTCATTCATGTTTCAAGACTAGAATGACAAGTTTCTTGGTCAGCTGCTTCCATCCATGACTATTCTTTGACATGTAGCACAACTAATATATAAATACAAGAACTAGTCATTATCTAGATGTGGGAAACGTATAACAAAGTTGAAAAGATGCCCTATACAAAAGTCCAAGATATTTTCTTAGTATTGTCTAAAATAGGCAGCCATTTCCTGAATATGTTAGTCTATGTTACAAAACAACTATAAAAGATACTGAGGAAACTAGTCATATATATAATCAGTAATATGTGTATTCAATATTGTTACAGCTAAAAGCTTTGTTACAACGAGGGACTAAATTCCTTTAATATTCAGTCCATAATCTTATTTTATATAACTTACTCAAAAAGTATTTTAAAACTAAAGGTGTTACCTTTCTGAAGAAATACATCAAGCTGATCAATACATAATGCTTTTAATTCCTTTTCACTTTTGTCTTTCTTTACCAGAGCCAAAACATATTTTGCTAGGGCTGATGGATCGGCATCACAGCTAAAAGGGAAAAGAAAATTTTGAATGAAACTTAACCATAAATGATTTCACAGTCTATAACTGAGTTAAAACTTGCAAAATATGACATATAATTGAGTTAATATATGTAAAAAAAACACTAGGCTCATGAAAGGCCCTGAATGAATATGTTTTCCTTATGTTAAGATATTTTACATGCTGCATCACTTCTTAAAAACATAATTTCTTAGAAGAATGTCACTGGGAATGGAGAGATAGATGAGTAATTAAGAGCACTTGCTCTTGCAGTTCCTGGTTCAGTTTCCAGAATTCAAATGGAGGCTCATAACCATCTGTAACTCCAGCTCATGAGGATCAAATACCCTCTTCTGATCTCCAAGGGTACCAGGTATGCATGTGGTACACACATATATGCACAAAAACAGACAAAACACTCTACACATAAAAAGAAAATAAACCCACACAAATAAATAAGTAAATAAGTGGGTGAGTGAATGAATGAATAGATAAATAGGTAAGTAAGTAAGTATATCACCCCCCTCGATACATAAAAGGGGCAGAAAAGCTAGAAAGCAAATCAAATGCATTAGGAATTTATATTTTATAAAAATAGAATTCAAGCAGTATGAAATTTGGTAACTATCTTTAAAAACCAAGTTTGGGGGTGGTGGTGGAATAGAGATGGCTCTGAGGTTAAGAGCACTGGCTCTTCTTCCAGAGATCCTGAGTTTAGTTCCCAGCAAGCACATGATGGCTCACAACCCCCTATAATGAGATCTGGTGCCCTCTTTTGGCCTGCAGGCACAAATGCAGGTAGAACTCTGTACACATAATAGGTAAATCTAAAATAAAGGTACGTTAGATTTTAAAAAAATCTCATTAAATTGAAAGTAGAAACATGAACCCACTATAGAAAATTACTAGCATTAGAGAAAAACCTGAGTCATATTATAATACAAAATTCTTGTCAGCAAAATACCATTGTATAAAAAACAGTCTTCAGAATAAAGAGTCAAAACAGGAGTTTTCAATCTTCCTAATGTTCCAATACAGTTCATGCTGCTCCCCAACCATATAATTTTTGCTGCCACTTCATACCTGCAATTTTGCTATTGCTATGAATCATAATGTAAATACCTATGTTTTCCAATGGTCTTGGGCGACCCCATGAAAGGGTCCTTCAACCCCCAAAGGGGTCACAACCCACAAGTTGAGAACCGTTGAGTTAAAAAAAAAAAGAGACAGATTCCTCAAGCACTAAGTTTCTATAATTAAGGTTAACTCAGTAACACAGGCAGGGAGTTGGGGAGGGATGGCCATTTAAAGAGAACTAGAAAAATTAATTATATTAAATTCACATTGGGGAACGACAGGCAACAAAATACTCAAAAATAATATACTTAGGAAAAGGAACTTCTTTAATATGAAAAGCAACGTATAGAAAAGTGTAAACGATATGCTACTATTTGTAAGGAAGAGATTATATACATGGACTGTTACAAATAAATAATACATATGCATAAGTATAAACTAATAATTATGGTTACTTGTATGAGGAAGTGTTGGTTGCTTCAATAAAGGAGAGACTGGGTCAGAAAGGAATGCTCTAATGCTGAAATCATGTCTGTCCAACTCAAAAACTAAATAAAATGTGTTATTTAATTAAGGTTTACTTAATAAATTAAACAACAAAATCACAGCAATAGCTAGCTTTACTGAACTCGTTCTGTTCCATAAACTAGGCTAGCTCTACTATTATATGGAAAGCTCTCACTTTACTGAGAAAGAACTGAGGTGAGTAGGAAAAAGTTAAGCAGGTCCCCTGAGACTATTAAATAAGTAGTGGATGAGCCAATATTTAAACCCAAACTATTCAACTCTACCCACTGTGGAGGACTCCTTCTTTACAATGAAATGCCTAGAAACTAGATAAACAATTCATCATCTCTCTACATGATGAGTGTTACAACCACCAACTCCTATGCACCTCCCATATTATTTTCTGTAAAAATCCTCCTGGGCTTTACCTCTCAACAGCCTCAGTTGCAGCCCAAGTCAGTTCCCTTAGCTCACATCCTGCACTCTATCCTTATTATTTCCTTATTTCTTCCTTATTTCTCAAAGACCACTATTTCACAATCCTCTGAATTCCTCAAACTCCCACACCCATGCCTTTAGAGCCTCCAGGATCCTTACTATCCACTCAATGAAACCCTAACTCAGAAACAGATACCTAGCTTGATTTAATGTAAAGGCTTAGCACAAAAAACAACTACTTAATTCACACCAACAATGGAAGTAAGAAAGATTCTATTTAAAGTTACTGATGATAGGGGCTGGAGAGATGGCTCAGAGGTTAAGAGCACTGACTGCTCTCCTGGAGGTCCTGAGTTCAATTCCCAGCAACCCACATGGTAGTTCACAACCATCTGTACTGAGATTTGGCGCCCTCTTCTGGCCTGCAGGCATACATGGAGGCTGAACACTGTGTACATAATAAATAAATCTTTAAAAAACAAAAGTTACTGATGATACAAAAATTTAACAGTAACTTTTAAATATATATGATATTAAAGGATCAAAGAAACAAACCAAACAAAGCTAGGTACAAACCTTTAGTCCTAGCACTCAGGAGGCAGAAGCAGTTGGATCTCTGAATTCAAGGTTAGGCTACGGACAGCAAGTTCCAGGATAGAAAAAGATTACAGAGAGACCCCTGTCTCAAAACAAAACAAAAATACAAAAGCTGGGGAGATCGCTCAGTCCATGTGTGTTGAGCAAGCAATGAAGACCTGAGTTCAGATATTTAGCATCCACGTAACAATAAATACAAAAATAAAAACCAAAAAATACTGTCATGGCATACTTAGAACTGCAGCACTGTGGGGACAGACACAGGCAGATTTCTGTAGCTATGGCCAGCTAGTCAACCTAACCAAATCAATGAGCTCCAGGTTTGGGAAGAGATCCTGTCTTAAAAATAAAAAATAAAAAAAATAAAAAAGCTGGAGGCAATCAACATATACCTACAGCCTCCACACGCAACGTACACACACTCACATAAACACATATATACACATTCAAAAAAAATAAAACACTTACTATCTATATTGCAAGGAATTTTCAGTCTACATCACTGGTAATTTTAAAATAATATCCAAAAGGTCTTCATTCCTCCCTTCCAAGAGTTGCCACCTAATTCTCTCCTCACTTGAGTAACAGATCAGTTATGCTTATGCATGGCAGATTTTATGGCATGTCTTACTTATGGGCTGGGGTAAAAATGGCATTGTGGCATCTCCCTTGCTTTTTCTCTGTCACCTTTTTAATCATATTCAATATCCTAGAGCATTCAAGCAGTATCATGGAGACTATCCTAGGGCAATAAATGAAATTAGGGCGCAAAACAAAATGCAAACAGTACATGTAAATAAGCCTCAGAGCAGATTATGAAGTTCCAAGGAAACCTAAGTTTTACTTCCAACAGTCTGACCACAATCCCATGAGAGACAGAAATATCCAACTAGCCTAGTCCTAAATTCCTGACTATAAAAACTTTGAGATCATAAATGCCTGCTTTGTTGCTTGGTGCCCTGATATCTTGTTACTCAATAACTATAAATCGATTTTCTCGTAATTCTACTTCCATTTTCAAGACTTGAAGTTAGTTATAATAGAAATGGAGGAACATTTTTAATGGTACATGAGAAATTTTATGAAAACTTATTTTCAAAACTTCCTTTGTACTAGATAAATGACTTGATGGTTAAGAGCACTGAACATTCTTCCAGAGGTAACAAACTCGATTCCTACCACCCATGTGGTGCCTGAACTCTTGTAAGGATCAGAACTGAGTGCAAGCATACTTTATGACTGTTTAGAAAAGACAGCCCAGGCCAACAGAACCCAATAGAAAGAACCCAAGGTTTGGAAAGAGTTAACACCAAAGAAAGATTCCAGCAAAATGGAATAAAATGAACATAAAACATCTGAATTACCCACCAGATTAACAACAGTTTCAGTGATTCTGGACGAATTATTCAGATTATTATGGTCAGTCACAAAATTACTTAAAAGCCTAAGAATAAAACTTCATCACTATATGAACAAACCCTAATAAAACTAAGAAAACACTTTTAGTTTTAAAATGGAGTTGCAGAGGTCCAGCTCCATACCACTCATTAAAAGCACAGGGATGGAGGCAGTGAAAGGGCTCAGTGTGTCAAAGTAACCTAGCAAGCTGCCACAGGCACACGATGACAAACAGGCCCATACACATATACACAGAAGATAAACATTTTGAAAAATATAAAAAGAAAGCATATAGGGGGCTGGAGAGATGACTCAGTGGTTAAGAACAGTGACTGCTCTTCCAGAGGACCCGGGTTAAATTCCCAGCACCCACACAGCAGCTCACAACTGTCTGAAGATCCAGTTGTAGGGGATCTGACACCTTTACACCAATGCACATAAAATAAAGTTAAATAAACCATAAAAATATTTTTTAAAAAAGAAAGCATATAGCTATTAAGAATATTAGTCTCAGCCGGGCGGTGGTGGCGCACGCCTTTAATCCCAGCACTCGGGAGGCAGAGGCTGGCGGATCTCTGAGAGTTCAAGGCCAGCCTGGTCTAAAAGAGCTAGTTCCAGGACAGGAACCAAAAAGCTACGGAGAAACCCTGTCTCGAAAAAAATCCAAAAAAAAAAAAAAAGGAGAACATTAGTCTCTTCTAGATAGTAAGAAGGAAATTATACTAAATGATGGAATTAAAAGAAATGGAGAAAACCAATAAAATTCTTGAAAATAATTAAACTGTTTTAATAATTTAAGCTAGAATCAAACTAAGCCTAAAAAGAAAAGCTGTAAGCAATTCTCTAACACGATCATCACATTTGTATTTTAACTTAATGATGTCAGATTGGTAATAACAGTACAGAAAACACTGGCATTCCACCATATATATATGGCTGTACTTCAAGACAGGGTTTCTCTGTGTATCCCTGGCTGTCCTGAAACTCAG